AGTTGGCTGCTACATATTCTACACATGTACAAAATACATCCATCACTCATTGCATCTTCGAAAAACACTATGCAGCACTGGAGAACAACACTACATCTCAGGATTAATAACACTTTCATACAACAAACCAAATATTCATTAGGTGAGGAATTTTTCAAGGAGATTCCTTGAGTGCTCTCTGGTTCTGCCTAGCCCTGAACCCATTATCCAACATGTTAAACTACATGTATTATGGCTACAATATCAGACATGAAAAAACAACACAGTTTACGCTGTCACATCTCATGTACATGGACGACATAAAACTTTATGCATCCACACAAAAACAACTTCATCAACTCCTACAAATCACACATTCATACACTAAGGACATACAAATGGAGTTTGGCCTAGACAAATGCAAAACACTTCACACAGAAAAAGGAGTCCTGAAGAAAGAAGATTTTGCACTTGGAAATGGAGATAATATTGAATCCATGGAAGAGGGTGAGTTCTACAAGTATTTAGGATTCCAACAGACCAAACTAACAGAACATACACAAATAAAACAAAGATTAATTAAAGAATATCAAAGTAGGTTAAATGCTATTCTCAGAACACAGTTAAATGCAAGACACAGTTAAAGCAATATAATAAAATCACATACATTATAGCCACATCCATTCCAAACACTCACAATGCACAAAATGCATGCACTGAAAAAAATCAGCAAGTACACAGAACTCGCCTAGGAAATAAGGCATCTGTGGAGGATGCATAGGGTTCTTATTGTACCTGTCATTCTTTTCTCTACAGGTCTATCACACACACTACACAAAAGCCTGAGAACATTATAATTGAATAGAAACACATACATCACACTACAGAAGGCCACTATATGGAATACATGTCATATTGTTAGGAAATTCCAGAATACAGACACACACACTGACACACTTATTTAACTTCTGTCTTGTTTTGTTTGCTGTGACTTGACTCTTATCCAGCATAGTACACAGCAACCGGTGTCAACAGAGTATAAGTCACTAAACCCAACATAATAATAATTATTTTGGAAATTATACATATGATTTTCTTTTTAAAAGTAAAATCAATGTATTTTTAAAAAGAAAATCAAATTAAAGCAGAAAAATTGATTTATTCTTCTAGAATCAATTTTTCTAATTTTATTTGAATTTTTTGTAAATTTTTTTCTATTTAAATATTTAATAAACATTTCATAATTATTAAATAATTATTAATAGACTACACAGCAAAATTCTAAAAGTTCTAATAAAATACAAAAGAATTGCTTTATTGGAATTAAAATTGAAAAATAAACACCAAGTTCCCTAATACTTCAGGAAAAATAAACACCAAGTACTAGGGAACTTGGTGTTTATTTTTCAATTTTTATTCCAATAAATCTTCAGAGGCTAAAAAATCAACAAACATAATAAACATAACCTGATTCATGATTTTGACTTTTATCCTTTGAAGATGGACTTAAAGAGGTCCAAGAGTATCAGGAAACTTGTGTTGTGTTTATTCATTTTAACTCAAATAAAAATAATATTCAATTATTATTTTATATATTAACAACAAATACATAGCCATTTACTATACAGTAAACATTTATTAATATAACGTTTATGGTTTTCTTAATCAAATTTCTTCAGGGAAGATATGAATTTTACAATTTAAAAAGAGCAAAGCTGCCATTTATTTAAAAATGCATGTGTTGGATTTTTTTACATATTGAATGAAACTGACAAAAAAAATAAAATATATAAAAACACAATGCATATATTATGGTATAAACCAGGCAGAAAAACTAAATTATACTTTACAAATTAAAAAATATGTAGAAAAGACTAAAATGCCATGATTTTTGTTCTGTCAAATCACCAGGAACAACAGTCTTCCAATGCTGAGATGACCTTTTATTAGAGGCTATGCTCCTGCAAAAACACGCAAAACAGTATAAAAAGTTCACAGGTGACAAGCCAAACAATTTAAAAATAATAAAATAATTTTTTCAAAAAAATGGCTGAAGAATTAACTCATTAAAAAATACATAGAAAAGACTAAAATGTTTTGATTTTTGTCATGTTGAAAATCAAGACACTTTAGTCTTTTCTATGTAGTTTTGAATGAGTTAATTCGTCAGTCATTTTTTTAAAAGAAATTATAGTTTACAAACTTTACTCCAGTACTTTTGGACATTTTAAAAATTTACCTTATTCTAAAAACAAAATATTGTAAATCATTATAGATTAATTGGGAGCTTTGTTATATGAATTCTACAATTGGAAAAGATCTCTCAAAGAAAGTTGCTTTAGAAGACCAAAACATTAGATTAATAAATATTTACTGCATAATAAATGGTTACATGTTTATTTTATAATTATACTTATATATTTCAAATTACAAAAAATTTGTTTTACAAATATTTATTTATAAAGTAAAAAAAAAATCTCAACCAATGCTTCAGTTTATGTTAATGTCTTGTTTCTCTTATATCAAGCTATTTTTGTTATATTAAGAATCTTGCATTTGTTTTTATAAATATTTATTTATTATTATAAAAATTTTAAAAATGTTTTTATCATCATTGTAGGAAAATAAATTGTGGGTGGCCAGCATAGCAGACTCTCCAAAATTCCCACCTTGTCGCATAACTTTGACATTTCCTGTGATAAACAATGCTCACAATGTAATTTTTATTGCATTAGGTGGAAGTAAAGCAAAAATTATAAAGGTATCTAAGTCTTGATATTAGCTGATTGTTTAAATGCATTTTTATAAACATTTTTTAAATGCATATAATTTACATTTTCTTCATTAATTTTAATAACATTATTGTTTATATTATACAATAAATTATACAAGTCTTATAATTATTGAGCTTATAATTATAATCTTGATCTATTTGCATCTGAAGATGTAAATTAAAGCTATTTTTACTGTTATATAAATGTGTTTGTGATGTATGACAAGTGTTAATCACAAAATTAAGTTTTTAATAATAAATTGTTTTTTTAAATAATTTTATAAATCATTAATTTTTCTTTATGCATACAATGTAAAATATAACATTAAAACAACATTGAGTTAATTTAAGTATGCCAATATATGTGTGATTATGGTCTTAAATAATGACATTTTATTTCATTAATTTTTAAATAAAATAAACAGAATAAGATACTTTTTGTTAGTATCTATGAATAAAAATATATTAAAGTCAAACATACAAATACTGTATAGTTTAATAGCACAGATTAATGATGAATATGTCATTCATTAGATAACCAAAGTCATTAAAAATAAAAAATATGTAAGAATAGAAAATTTTGCAGATTAGATTGTTCTTTAAGATGATGATATATGAAATTGCTGAAAATTTTGAAAAAATCAAAATGTTAATGCAAAAAATTCTTTTTAAAATCAACATACTGTGTTTTGACATTGTTAATTTGAGAAGTTCTAAAATTCTAAAAATAATTTTTGTCATTGATTTTTCCTCCCCATATTTTGATTACAAAGTGATTTTTTTATATAAACAACCCAAAGTGTGCTCAGCAGAAAATAATGAATTAATTAACATTTGATTTTTTTATATTTTATATACAGGATGTTTAAAAAAAGATGGGTAAAATTTTAAGTGTTGGAGAAGTACACCAAAACAAGCATTTCTCATCATAGAATACATGGTCAAATTGAAACAGCAAAGGCAGTAGGAAGCACTTTCTAGCAAGCATATAAAAGCATGTTTTTTGTACACATTTGCAGATTTAACATCTGAAGAAATGAATTGTTATTCCAATGCTGAGAAGGTCAATATGCATTTCATGTGCAGAGCTGCCAATGGTAATGCCATGGAAGTGCAATGAATGAAGTGTTTTCTCATTGGTCAGCTCCTGATCAGAAAATATTTGAGTGCTTACACTGGAAACTGTGCAAGACAATATTTTTCCTCAGTTACAGCCATAATGTAGATCATTTAAAGATTGTGAGAATGCTGATTATGGTAGAGATTAAAGATTTTTTTTTCATGTTCTGTGTTTGTGCCTCAACACGTCACAGTCAACTATTCTATAATGAGAAATGTTTGTTTATGGTGTGTTTTTCCTTAAAGTTTAGCTATCTTTATTGAAACACTCTGTATATATATTATATATATATAAACAAAATATATATACTGTTTTAAAGGGAATATAAATTTAAGTTTTAATACCTAATTAGTATATCTTCACTATTTACATTCTGTTCTAAGAATATTGGGATCCTTTAAAAGATTAATGGTAATCTGTATGAAACAATCTTAAAAGTTTAAATCTGATAAAATATAATGCTGTTATGTGGTAAAAAGAATACTTTTAATAGCTAAAATAAAAAATATAATAAACTATTATTATAACTACAGGGTGTCCAAAAAGGTTGAGTGCAATTTAAAAGTAAAATAAATTAAAAATAAAAATATGTTCAAAGAAAGTTTTGTTTTTATTTTCAATCTACGGTTATTGGAAAAGCATTTACTAAAAATTATGTTATCTAAATGGCGTCTGTTACACTCCTGGCACTCTTCTAATCTTGAGTGAAGATTTCTCAGTACACATTGACACAAAGCCCGAGATACCGATGACATTTCTGCTGTGATATTCTGCTTTAATTGAGTTAATGTCCTCAGCTTATTTTTGTACACTCTCTCTTTAAGAAGTCCCCATAAGAAATCAGAGGATTCAGGTCTGGACTGTGTGGTGGCCAGTTAACATTATCTCTTTGTAAAATCAGCTTTTTGGGGAATAATTCCTTTATGACTTCAATTGATTCATGGTTTCAACATGATGGTGCCACTTGACACACATCAAATGAATCAATTGAAGCTGTAAAGGAGTTATTTCCCAATAAGCTGATTTCACGAAGAGGTGATGTTAACTGGCCACCACGCAGTTCAGACCTGAGTCCTCTGGGCTATTTCTTACAGGGACTTCTTAAAGAGAGGGTGTACAAAAATAAGTCAAAGACATTAACTCAATTAAAGCAGAATATCACAGCAGAAATAGTATCGGTATCTCAGGCTTTGTGTCAACATGTACTGAGAAATCTTTGTTCAAGATTAGAAGAGTGTCAGGAGTGTAATGGATGCCATTTAGATAACATAATTGTTAGTAAATAATCTTCCAATAACCATAGATTGAAAATAAAAACAAAACTTTCTTTGAACATTTTTTATTTTTAATTTATTTTACTTTTAAACTGCACTCATCCTTTCTGGACATCCTGTAAATAAATAATATCCAGGACTATTTTTCTGCTGGAATGTGCTGGTATGGCATAGCAGCAGATAGCATAAAAGGTATTGATAAGTAGTATGTAGTACAGGTAACAAATTTTTAGAAAAAGAACACTAAATATATTTCATTAAATATTTTAATATTATCTTAAATATACAATTTTTTTATTTTTATTTTAGGAAATATTTAGAGAAGATTCTTCTAATCCTCTCCCAGCTGCTAGAATTTCTCCATCTCATGGCCAGTTGTATTGGTTGATGGACAATGCAGCTGCCAGTGAAATCAATAAGACAGAATAATAATTATTGGAAATACTTTAAAATCAAAGAAATAAGTCAGTATATAAAAAGATTCTATATCATTGTTTTTATTACTTGAAAAATGTTAAGTTACGATATGCAGAACTGGTTTTTATACAATAAATGAATATAAATTTATTTTTAAGAAGCTGTAAGTAAAAGTTTTGTATATTTGGATTTTGTTTTTTTAATAAAAATGCTTTATTAATTAATGATTTGATATTTATTAAATATTTTTGACAATTACACAATAGTTACATATATTATCAATAATTTTTAAAAAATTATCTTTACAGCAATTGTTAGCAATGTTGCTTTTTTGTATACTATTGGAAACAATTTAGACAGGTACAGCTTTGATTTTAACTCCATGCTTAGGATGAGATGTCACAAATGAATATGCTATTTTTAATTCCTGAAACAAAACATAAATTGTAAATTATCATTAGCCAGATATTTATTTAATAAAAATATTCATATTTTATACAATACCTTCTCTTCTGTAATTAATTTGTATGATTTTATGATTCTGGCAATTGCCATTTTTACTTCTAATTGTGCAAATCTCATTCCAATACAATTTCTTGGTCCAGAACCAAATGGTTGATATGACATTGGTTGAATTTTAGATTTGTTTTCTGAAGAAAATCTAATTTTTGCAGAAAATTCAAATGGAAAAATGTTATTACAACTGAAATTTTTTAATTAAAATAAATCATTGTTTTTATAGCTTATATATACAGAGTAAACAAAATAGTTTGTTCAAGAAGTAGACTGACAATACAAATGAGGGATAAGATTTGAAACTCCTCAAGTCTGTAGTAAGAATGTGTCAAGATTTAATCATGCAACACTAAATACATAAAATATATATCACAAGCATTAACACTTGGACTGTTAAAGCTTGCAATTTTGGTTTTTCAACATAATATTTTGTTCCTTTTTTTTGTCATCTCTTAATTCAAATCAGATAATTAAGGGTGTCTTTTTGCTCTACTTAATGATGGCACTTGCATATAGGGTTGCCATCTATCTGGGTTTGACCCGGAGACTCCAGGATTCAGTGAGTTATCTCTGGGCTCCAGGGTTAATTAATATTTCTCCGGGTTGTGCAAGTTGAAATGAATATGTACAAAATTATATGAAAACCGTCGTGTATATTTCTTTCCCCGTGTACCAAATTACTAGTGTGCTGGTTGTTGGCTTAAAGACATAACATCTATAACTGGCGCAGGCACAGTGCTGCTGCGTGTTATGTAGTTGTCACTCTCAATAGACAGCTCTTGACAAAACAGTCACAGGAAAGAGTACATGATATAGGCTACATAGGTGACAGTTTGATAAACAGTGTTCGTGTTGGTTGATGATTAATGGTAAGTTATAGTATATAGTTAGAGTCAGACTTGAGCAGGTTAAATAGCATTATATAACAAATGGTCTGTTGGACCATCAAAAAAAATTTTATTTTTTTATTTTTGGATGTTTTTTAATTCAAAAATTTTTACCCATGTGAAAAAATTTTATTGCGATTTTAATCAACCTTTAATGATGCATGATTAACGCTTAATTGTTTTTTATAGGATTTTTTAAAATCAAATTTCATTCATCGTTCTAAAGTTCTAGTGCATGGATTTTACTTCGGTAAAGTTATTTAAAGCTACTTTATGATGTCAAAAACAATATCCAATAGTTTTTTTAATTTTTTTAATTAATAGATTTTATTATATATATGTTTAATTGAGTCGAAGGGTCGGAAATCACAATAAAAAGTGTAATTTTTGAAAAATATTTAGAACATACAGCCAGCTAGTATTCACTCTACTTCAGACCCTTCACTTCCTGGAAACATCCCAGGAAAGATTATGTATGGATGTATGTATGTATGTATGTATGCATATCGTTTTTTTGGTTTCTTAAATCATTGTCTCCAGGTGAGACTAAGTTTTGAGGTGGCAACCCTATTTGCATACAGCACATATCTTGCACACCCTACTTGTTGAGCCCTACTCACAGCATTTTCAAGTCTACTCCTTGCTAAAAAATTTGTGTTTAATCATTTGGTAGATATTTTTTAGATTCTTGATAAATAATAACAACCATCTTTTATCATTACCTCTCTGGCATGAACTTTTCTGGATCTGGCCAATATTCTGGATTATGATGCAAAGACCAAAGTGCTATTTGAATTCCTAAGCCTTTTGGAATTAAGTAATCTTTATATTTTATGTCTCTATTTGTTGTTCTTGTAACGAATCTAAATTTAAAAATTTAATAATAACATTTTTCATTTATTTATAATACAAACATATACATTATTATGCATAAATTAAAATTATTTTGAAATTTATTATTAAATGCAACAATAACTTACAAAAACTATTAGGCAGTTTTTTAAGTTTAAATTTTCATAAAATTTTATACAGTATAACTTCTTTAACTCAAAACTTCTAGATGCAGGAAAAAACTGAGTTACAGATGATTTGAGTTAGAATAAGCATTTTTTACTCTATTGTTCTCTGAATGGATTTGTATTTTTACCTCTCTTGCATTATACAAAGAATCTTTGATAGTTTTTTGTTTTAAACAGCCTGTGTAATCCTTTCCACTAAATGTTCAATGTAACAAATGGAATCAAACACTTTTGCAGATATATCTTATTGAGATAACGCGAGATGTCCTCTCACTTTGGACTGGAATGTTGTCTGTAAATGGGTGTTAGACAGTAAATACAACTGTTTGAAAATTTCATGGAGATCCAATAATTAGGATCAAGAAAAAATATTAAAATTTGAGTCAGGGAAGTTGAAAGTAATATAAATTAGTGTCAGGTGACCATGAAAACCGTTGACTTAGAGAAAATTCAAGTTAAAGATATTTATGTTGGTGATTTTAAATTCCTATACTATTCCATTGAGACCTACCATGTGCTTCACTTTCTTTGAGTTAAAGAAATATTACTGTATTTAGTATTTAATAAACAAATGATCTATCAAATATCACTTCTATTTGCATACAAGAATAAAGTGATAATTAGAAGTAAAACTAAAAATATTTTCAGTGAGAATGGAGTTCCTGTAAAATTTGTTACAGAATTGTTAGACTATGAAGTAAGTCTTTTAAATCTAGAAAGTTTGCTTGTTTTATATTACAAAAATTTTTTGAGTACAAACACTAAAAATTTCCATCTTTATTTAATTGATTAAATAAAGATGGAAAAGAGACCATGTGTTTGATTAATAACACGATCTTGCATTTAATACTCAACAAATAGTACAACATGGTTTCAAAAAACAAACAAAAAACAAAAATTTTTGTATTTGCAAATTGTCTTGACTTTTTTATTTTGAATAATTCAAACATAACCAGTAGACAATATTATGGTAAATAATAAAGATTAAATAAGTAAATTAAATCTCGCTATATGGAGTATTTATTTATTTAAAATATTTTAACTAAAATAACAAGAACTGCAGATTAATTATTATAATAAATCACTTAAATTCTTGCCTATTAATTACTTCCTGACTAATAGGATAAAAATTATAATAAATAATATGAATATAGTAGTAATAAATTAATAACTTGGTAATATAATAAAATGAAATTTGATATTTAAAAGCAGAAATATTTAAATTATTATATTTTTTCATTNTTCCAACAGACCAAACTAACAGAACATACACAAATAAAACAAAGATTAATTAAAGAATATCAAAGTAGGTTAAATGCTATTCTCAGAACACAGTTAAATGCAAGACACAGTTAAAGCAATATAATAAAATCACATACATTATAGCCACATCCATTCCAAACACTCACAATGCACAAAATGCATGCACTGAAAAAAATCAGCAAGTACACAGAACTCGCCTAGGAAATAAGGCATCTGTGGAGGATGCATAGGGTTCTTATTGTACCTGTCATTCTTTTCTCTACAGGTCTATCACACACACTACACAAAAGCCTGAGAACATTATAATTGAATAGAAACACATACATCACACTACAGAAGGCCACTATATGGAATACATGTCATATTGTTAGGAAATTCCAGAATACAGACACACACACTGACACACTTATTTAACTTCTGTCTTGTTTTGTTTGCTGTGACTTGACTCTTATCCAGCATAGTACACAGCAACCGGTGTCAACAGAGTATAAGTCACTAAACCCAACATAATAATAATTATTTTGGAAATTATACATATGATTTTCTTTTTAAAAGTAAAATCAATGTATTTTTAAAAAGAAAATCAAATTAAAGCAGAAAAATTGATTTATTCTTCTAGAATCAATTTTTCTAATTTTATTTGAATTTTTTGTAAATTTTTTTCTATTTAAATATTTAATAAACATTTCATAATTATTAAATAATTATTAATAGACTACACAGCAAAATTCTAAAAGTTCTAATAAAATACAAAAGAATTGCTTTATTGGAATTAAAATTGAAAAATAAACACCAAGTTCCCTAATACTTCAGGAAAAATAAACACCAAGTACTAGGGAACTTGGTGTTTATTTTTCAATTTTTATTCCAATAAATCTTCAGAGGCTAAAAAATCAACAAACATAATAAACATAACCTGATTCATGATTTTGACTTTTATCCTTTGAAGATGGACTTAAAGAGGTCCAAGAGTATCAGGAAACTTGTGTTGTGTTTATTCATTTTAACTCAAATAAAAATAATATTCAATTATTATTTTATATATTAACAACAAATACATAGCCATTTACTATACAGTAAACATTTATTAATATAACGTTTATGGTTTTCTTAATCAAATTTCTTCAGGGAAGATATGAATTTTACAATTTAAAAAGAGCAAAGCTGCCATTTATTTAAAAATGCATGTGTTGGATTTTTTTACATATTGAATGAAACTGACAAAAAAAATAAAATATATAAAAACACAATGCATATATTATGGTATAAACCAGGCAGAAAAACTAAATTATACTTTACAAATTAAAAAATATGTAGAAAAGACTAAAATGCCATGATTTTTGTTCTGTCAAATCACCAGGAACAACAGTCTTCCAATGCTGAGATGACCTTTTATTAGAGGCTATGCTCCTGCAAAAACACGCAAAACAGTATAAAAAGTTCACAGGTGACAAGCCAAACAATTTAAAAATAATAAAATAATTTTTTCAAAAAAATGGCTGACGAATTAACTCATTAAAAAATACATAGAAAAGACTAAAATGTTTTGATTTTTGTCATGTTGAAAATCAAGACACTTTAGTCTTTTCTATGTAGTTTTGAATGAGTTAATTCGTCAGTCATTTTTTTAAAAGAAATTATAGTTTACAAACTTTACTCCAGTACTTTTGGACATTTTAAAAATTTACCTTATTCTAAAAACAAAATATTGTAAATCATTATAGATTAATTGGGAGCTTTGTTATATGAATTCTACAATTGGAAAAGATCTCTCAAAGAAAGTTGCTTTAGAAGACCAAAACATTAGATTAATAAATATTTACTGCATAATAAATGGTTACATGTTTATTTTATAATTATACTTATATATTTCAAATTACAAAAAATTTGTTTTACAAATATTTATTTATAAAGTAAAAAAAAAATCTCAACCAATGCTTCAGTTTATGTTAATGTCTTGTTTCTCTTATATCAAGCTATTTTTGTTATATTAAGAATCTTGCATTTGTTTTTATAAATATTTATTTATTATTATAAAAATTTTAAAAATGTTTTTATCATCATTGTAGGAAAATAAATTGTGGGTGGCCAGCATAGCAGACTCTCCAAAATTCCCACCTTGTCGCATAACTTTGACATTTCCTGTGATAAACAATGCTCACAATGTAATTTTTATTGCATTAGGTGGAAGTAAAGCAAAAATTATAAAGGTATCTAAGTCTTGATATTAGCTGATTGTTTAAATGCATTTTTATAAACATTTTTTAAATGTATATNGTTCAGACCTGAGTCCTCTGGGCTATTTCTTACAGGGACTTCTTAAAGAGAGGGTGTACAAAAATAAGTCAAAGACATTAACTCAATTAAAGCAGAATATCACAGCAGAAATAGTATCGGTATCTCAGGCTTTGTGTCAACATGTACTGAGAAATCTTTGTTCAAGATTAGAAGAGTGTCAGGAGTGTAATGGATGCCATTTAGATAACATAATTGTTAGTAAATAATCTTCCAATAACCATAGATTGAAAATAAAAACAAAACTTTCTTTGAACATTTTTTATTTTTAATTTATTTTACTTTTAAACTGCACTCATCCTTTCTGGACATCCTGTAAATAAATAATATCCAGGACTATTTTTCTGCTGGAATGTGCTGGTATGGCATAGCAGCAGATAGCATAAAAGGTATTGATAAGTAGTATGTAGTACAGGTAACAAATTTTTAGAAAAAGAACACTAAATATATTTCATTAAATATTTTAATATTATCTTAAATATACAATTTTTTTATTTTTATTTTAGGAAATATTTAGAGAAGATTCTTCTAATCCTCTCCCAGCTGCTAGAATTTCTCCATCTCATGGCCAGTTGTATTGGTTGATGGACAATGCAGCTGCCAGTGAAATCAATAAGACAGAATAATAATTATTGGAAATACTTTAAAATCAAAGAAATAAGTCAGTATATAAAAAGATTCTATATCATTGTTTTTATTACTTGAAAAATGTTAAGTTACGATATGCAGAACTGGTTTTTATACAATAAATGAATATAAATTTATTTTTAAGAAGCTGTAAGTAAAAGTTTTGTATATTTGGATTTTGTTTTTTTAATAAAAATGCTTTATTAATTAATGATTTGATATTTATTAAATATTTTTGACAATTACACAATAGTTACATATATTATCAATAATTTTTAAAAAATTATCTTTACAGCAATTGTTAGCAATGTTGCTTTTTTGTATACTATTGGAAACAATTTAGACAGGTACAGCTTTGATTTTAACTCCATGCTTAGGATGAGATGTCACAAATGAATATGCTATTTTTAATTCCTGAAACAAAACATAAATTGTAAATTATCATTAGCCAGATATTTATTTAATAAAAATATTCATATTTTATACAATACCTTCTCTTCTGTAATTAATTTGTATGATTTTATGATTCTGGCAATTGCCATTTTTACTTCTAATTGTGCAAATCTCATTCCAATACAATTTCTTGGTCCAGAACCAAATGGTTGATATGACATTGGTTGAATTTTAGATTTGTTTTCTGAAGAAAATCTAATTTTTGCAGAAAATTCAAATGGAAAAATGTTATTACAACTGAAATTTTTTAATTAAAATAAATCATTGTTTTTATAGCTTATATATACAGAGTAAACAAAATAGTTTGTTCAAGAAGTAGACTGACAATACAAATGAGGGATAAGATTTGAAACTCCTCAAGTCTGTAGTAAGAATGTGTCAAGATTTAATCATGCAACACTAAATACATAAAATATATATCACAAGCATTAACACTTGGACTGTTAAAGCTTGCAATTTTGGTTTTTCAACATAATATTTTGTTCCTTTTTTTTGTCATCTCTTAATTCAAATCAGATAATTAAGGGTGTCTTTTTGCTCTACTTAATGATGGCACTTGCATATAGGGTTGCCATCTATCTGGGTTTGACCCGGAGACTCCAGGATTCAGTGAGTTATCTCTGGGCTCCAGGGTTAATTAATATTTCTCCGGGTTGTGCAAGTTGAAATGAATATGTACAAAATTATATGAAAACCGTCGTGTATATTTCTTTCCCCGTGTACCAAATTACTAGTGTGCTGGTTGTTGGCTTAAAGACATAACATCTATAACTGGCGCAGGCACAGTGCTGCTGCGTGTTATGTAGTTGTCACTCTCAATAGACAGCTCTTGACAAAACAGTCACAGGAAAGAGTACATGATATAGGCTACATAGGTGACAGTTTGATAAACAGTGTTCGTGTTGGTTGATGATTAATGGTAAGTTATAGTATATAGTTAGAGTCAGACTTGAGCAGGTTAAATAGCATTATATAACAAATGGTCTGTTGGACCATCAAAAAAAATTTTATTTTTTTATTTTTGGATGTTTTTTAATTCAAAAATTTTTACCCATGTGAAAAAATTTTATTGCGATTTTAATCAACCTTTAATGATGCATGATTAACGCTTAATTGTTTTTTATAGGATTTTTTAAAATCAAATTTCATTCATCGTTCTAAAGTTCTAGTGCATGGATTTTACTTCGGTAAAGTTATTTAAAGCTACTTTATGATGTCAAAAACAATATCCAATAGTTTTTTTAATTTTTTTAATTAATAGATTTTATTATATATATGTTTAATTGAGTCGAAGGGTCGGAAATCACAATAAAAAGTGTAATTTTTGAAAAATATTTAGAACATACAGCCAGCTAGTATTCACTCTACTTCAGACCCTTCACTTCCTGGAAACATCCCAGGAAAGATTATGTATGGATGTATGTATGTATGTATGTATGCATATCGTTTTTTTGGTTTCTTAAATCATTGTCTCCAGGTGAGACTAAGTTTTGAGGTGGCAACCCTATTTGCATACAGCACATATCTTGCACACCCTACTTGTTGAGCCCTACTCACAGCATTTTCAAGTCTACTCCTTGCTAAAAAATTTGTGTTTAATCATTTGGTAGATATTTTTTAGATTCTTGATAAATAATAACAACCATCTTTTATCATTACCTCTCTGGCATGAACTTTTCTGGATCTGGCCAATATTCTGGATTATGATGCAAAGACCAAAGTGCTATTTGAATTCCTAAGCCTTTTGGAATTAAGTAATCTTTATATTTTATGTCTCTATTTGTTGTTCTTGTAACGAATCTAAATTTAAAAATTTAATAATAACATTTTTCATTTGATTATAATACAAACATATACATTATTATGCATAAATTAAAATTATTTTGAAATTTATTATTAAATGCAACAATAACTTACAAAAACTATTAGGCAGTTTTTTAAGTTTAAATTTTCATAAAATTTTATACAGTATAACTTCTTTAACTCAAAACTTCTAGATGCAGGAAAAAACTGAGTTACAGATGATTTGAGTTAGAATAAGCATTTTTTACTCTATTGTTCTCTGAATGGATTTGTATTTTTACCTCTCTTGCATTATACAAAGAATCTTTGATAGTTTTTTGTTTTAAACAGCCTGTGTAATCCTTTCCACTAAATGTTCAATGTAACAAATGGAATCAAACACTTTTGCAGATATATCTTATTGAGATAAAGCGAGATGTCCTCTCACTTTGGACTGGAATGTTGTCTGTAAATGGGTGTTAGACAGTAAATACAACTGTTTGAAAATTTCATGGAGATCCAATAATTAGGATCAAGAAAAAATATTAAAATTTGAGTCAGGGAAGTTGAAAGTAATATAAATTAGTGTCAGGTGACCATGAAAACCGTTGACTTAGAGAAAATTCAAGTTAAAGATATTTATGTTGGTGATTTTAAATTCCTATACTATTCCATTGAGACCTACCATGTGCTTCACTTTCTTTGAGTTAAAGAAATATTACTGTATTTAGTATTTAATAAACAAATGATCTATCAAATATCACTTCTATTTGCATACAAGAATAAAGTGATAATTAGAAGTAAAACTAAAAATATTTTCAGTGAGAATGGAGTTCCTGTAAAATTTGTTACAGAATTGTTAGACTATGAAGTAAGTCTTTTAAATCTAGAAAGTTTGCTTGTTTTATATTACAAAAATTTTTTGAGTACAAACACTAAAAATTTCCATCTTTATTTAATTGATTAAATAAAGATGGAAAAGAGACCATGTGTTTGATTAATAACACGATCTTGTGTTTAATACTCAACAAATAGTACAACATGGTTTCAAAAAACAAACAAAAAACAAAAATTTTTGTATTTGCAAATTGTCTTGACTTTTTTATTTTGAATAATTCAAACATAACCAGTAGACAATATTATGGTAAATAATAAAGATTAAATAAGTAAATTAAATCTCGCTATATGGAGTATTTATTTATTTAAAATATTTTAACTAAAATAACAAGAACTGCAGATTAATTATTATAATAAATCACTTAAATTCTTGCCTATTAATTACTTCCTGACTAATAGGATACAATACCTTCTCTTCTGTAATTAATTTGTATGATTTTATGATTCTGGCAATTGCCATTTTTACTTCTAATTGTGCAAATCTCATTCCAATACAATTTCTTGGTCCAGAACCAAATGGTTGATATGACATTGGTTGAATTTTAGATTTGTTTTCTGAAGAAAATCTAATTTTTGCAGAAAATTCAAATGGAAAAATGTTATTACAACTGAAATTTTTTAATTAAAATAAATCATTGTTTTTATAGCTTATATATACAGAGTAAACAAAATAGTTTGTTCAAGAAGTAGACTGACAATACAAATGAGGGATAAGATTTGAAACTCCTCAAGTCTGTAGTAAGAATGTGTCAAGATTTAATCATGCAACACTAAATACATAAAATATATATCACAAGCATTAACACTTGGACTGTTAAAGCTTGCAATTTTGGTTTTTCAACATAATATTTTGTTCCTTTTTTTTGTCATCTCTTAATTCAAATTAGATAATTAAGGGTGTCTTTTTGCTCTACTTAATGATGGCACTTGNTAAATCATTTTTGTTCAGTAGGATTATCAAATATCTAAAACTGAATTTAGTACTTTGCATAGATAAGATAAGTGTAGAATAAATTGAAAAAAATTGTTTTTTTTTTTATTTTGAATTTTTATTAGTTCAAATTGAGTTCAAATAGAATGACAATGACATCCATATAGAGATTCCTTTACTCACTGAAATTTTGGCAGTGAAAGTTACTACTATAAATTTAAAGTACCTTTCATAAATAACTGGAAAAATACTTGTTGAATAAAAATATTTGCCTTTTTATCCAAAGAATATGAATATATAATTATATAGTATATATACTATACATTATACTAGAGGTGCTCAAATTATGGCCTCCAGGCCAAATATGACTCATAGCACACATTAATCCAACTCACAAACATTTGATACATCACTTATAAATGATAGAAATAGGCACACTTTTTGTATAAAATGATAGAAATAGGCACACTTTTTGTATATATGGAAAATATATTTGTAGCTTGCCTATTTACAACTTATGCCAATTTGGGCATCACTGTATTATAGTATAATAATATAAGATCTGTAGCTAGGAGGCTGTGAGGTGACTAAGCTCCCTCAGCTTATTATATGATATATGCATTTGTTTCGTTATGTAAACTTAGGTTACTGTTATTTATTTTTACACAAACTGTAGCTAATAGTTCTAGTGCTGGCTAGGAGAAATACAAATCACAATTTTATAAGTTCATCCCTCTAGCTCCCCAATAATTATTTCTGGTTATGGGACTAGTATATATTCATATTATTCCTTGAAACTATTCAAGGAAAAAAAATAAACGTTTATTTTATTAACAAGTTCATATAATAAACTTACGTAAGTGAAGGACTGTATAGTCTAAGTGATTCTGAAATTACTTGATCTAAAAATTTCATCTTAGAAATAGCATTATAATCCAGTTTAGTCTGAAATTTATTAAAATTTTTAAAAATAAATAATATATTTACTTAAATTATATATTTATAGGCAATGTAAAACAGATGTATTAATACTTAACAGTTTATATATATTTCTTTATTACAACTAACCTCGTCTTCAACAACTTCATTTATTTCATTCCTTAATTTCTCTTGCACATCTTGATGAATAGCAAGAAGATAAGTGATAAAACTTAATGCTGTGCTTGTTGTTTCATACCTGAAAGGCACTTCAATTTTTATTAAATATTAATATACAGGATGATCAGGATTGTTGAGAGGGGGAGCTGTGGATTTTTCCCTATGCCCAGAGCAAATATGCTCATAGTGGTCCCACCCACTACAAATTAATGCTATTTTTACTAACAAAAAAGTAAAATTTTTAAGACTGCATTTATTAATAAAAGAAATAAGTTATTCTGTGTATTTCATTTGTTCAAAACCAAAGTAACAAAAGGGGCCTGCTCTAGTCCAGTTCCCATACAAGCACTCAACAACCCTGAGGTTTATCAAACAAAAAGTTTACTTGCAAAGAGTAAACTTGGTGACACTGGAAAGGAGTTTCAAATGATATATCTTGAGAATTTATAGTACAGTCGACCCCCTATAATACTGTTGATAATTCCGTTTTATATGAATTCCATGTTGTATGAATCACTTAGATTTTACAAATACGTGTGCCGGACTGTGAACGGCTCACGTATTTTAAAATCTAAGTGACTCGTACAACATGGAATTCATATAAAACAGAATTATCAACAGTGTTATGGGGGGTCGACTGTAAATATAAGTCCAAGGTTTTTTTTTTTTTGTAATATATACAAGTATAATAGGGCAGTAACAATCTCAGACAATTTATTATATCACTAAGTCTACAAGTCAAATTTTATGTTTTGTTTTTATACTAGATAAAATATTTTAACTTTATCTTTACCCTGCTAAAAGGAATATTATTGCATTTGCTTTAATTTCTTCATCAGTCATATATCGTTTCAGTCCCTTGGATGTTGAACCTGAAAATTTTGAATAATTACTAACTTTTTTACTCTTATAGGGGATTTTTTTTCTTTTTTGACTCTTTCTACCCTGTGACACTGTAAGGGCTTTTTTTTTTAACATCCATCATGGGTTTAGCCATTCCCAATTGGGACAGAAAGGAATGAGGAATGAGGCCTGAAGTAGCCAGGACAAAATGGTCATGAAAACTTCCTGGAGTTCTTTGCTCACCTAGATTCAATCCCAAATCCCCAGAGCAGTAGATTCAATCCCAAATCCCCAGAGCAGTCTTAACTGTCTCAGTCATCTAACCATCATCCTTATATGAGTAATAGTAGAATCTTTTATCATACTCAATATAATTCAGCTAGGTTCACAAAAGTAAAGAAATCAAATGCTGAGAGATAGGGCTTGATATATCTGAGCCAGACTACTCATGAATAATTTGAGGATCCAACCTACGTTCAAACCTTTTCCCCAGTGGCATTAGCTGCCTCAATCATCTGAATATCATAAATACTTAACTTCACCACACAACAGGTTGAATATATGACATGGGATCCACTTACGTTAACCAAATAACCAGAGTGCTTATGTTGGATAACTGCTTATTAAACATAAGCACTCCGGTTATTTGGTTAAAGTAAGTTGATCCCATGTCATATATCATAAATATTCAATTAATTAATTTTTTGACTTCTATAAAACTTACTTGAAATTGCATCAGACTCAGAGTCTTCAGAAATCATTAAATTATCATTTTTAATAGATTTCATATCCTGAACAGACATATTAGCATCAATCATGAGTTGTAACAAATCTTGCCGTTTTGTCTGAAAGTAAATTTCTTTTAATATTATAAATCATTAAATTTTATTGATTTTTTTTTTTCAATAAAATTTAACTTTAGAAACAAAATTGTTTTTACTGTAGCATCTTTTCTTCTTATTTTAATGACTTCAGAAACCATAGAAAGAAGACCTCTGCCTGATGGTTTTTCTCTTATCATATTTATCATATCTTGTATGACAGTAATTGTATCAGCAAAGATCATCAATTCAGGAAAACATACTATAATTATATTTTTATATAAAAGATCATTTATATGTTTAATATGTTAATTATAAAATATGTAAAATAATGAATAAATCAATAAAAGTATGCTTACTTTTTATACGTATGCTAAACAAATCTAGAGGATTTTGAAACATGGCTTTACAATTCAAGAAAAAGAGATCATTTTGATTTTTTTGGACATCTGTTCTTATTCCGAAAGCTGTTCTCCCTATAACATCCATGGTGAGCCTTGCATACATATTATAAATATCAAATGTTTTATTTTTTTCTGCATTTATCTTTATATTATTAAATAAAGTTTCAATGGCTTCACTCATTAATGGCATCATCTNCATTTGATTTTTTTATATTTTATATACAGGATGTTTAAAAAAAGATGGGTAAAATTTTAAGTGTTGGAGAAGTACACCAAAACAAGCATTTCTCATCATAGAATACATGGTCAAATTGAAACAGCAAAGGCAGTAGGAAGCACTTTCTAGCAAGCATATAAAAGCATGTTTTTTGTACACATTTGCAGATTTAACATCTGAAGAAATGGATTGTTATTCCAATGCTGAGAAGGTCAATATGCATTTCATGTGCAGAGCTGCCAATGGTAATGCCATGGAAGTGCAATGAATGAAGTGTTTTCTCATTGGTCAGCTCCTGATCAGAAAATATTTGAGTGCTTACACTGGAAACTGTGCAAGACAATATTTTTCCTCAGTTACAGCCATAATGTAGATCATTTAAAGATTGTGAGAATGCTGATTATGGTAGAGATTAAAGATTTTTTTTTCATGTTCTGTGTTTGTGCCTCAACACGTCACAGTCAACTATTCTATAATGAGAAATGTTTGTTTATGGTGTGTTTTTCCTTAAAGTTTAGCTATCTTTATTGAAACACTCTGTATATATATTATATATATATAAACAAAATATATATACTGTTTTAAAGGGAATATAAATTTAAGTTTTAATACCTAATTAGTATATCTTCACTATTTACATTCTGTTCTAAGAATATTGGGATCCTTTAAAAGATTAATGGTAATCTGTATGAAACAATCTTAAAAGTTTAAATCTGATAAAATATAATGCTGTTATGTGGTAAAAAGAATACTTTTAATAGCTAAAATAAAAAATATAATAAACTATTATTATAACTACAGGGTGTCCAAAAAGGTTGAGTGCAATTTAAAAGTAAAATAAATTAAAAATAAAAATATGTTCAAAGAAAGTTTTGTTTTTATTTTCAATCTACGGTTATTGGAAAAGCATTTACTAAAAATTATGTTATCTAAATGGCGTCTGTTACACTCCTGGCACTCTTCTAATCTTGAGTGAAGATTTCTCAGTACACATTGACACAAAGCCCGAGATACCGATGACATTTCTGCTGTGATATTCTGCTTTAATTGAGTTAATGTCCTCAGCTTATTTTTGTACACTCTCTCTTTAAGAAGTCCCCATAAGAAATCAGAGGATTCAGGTCTGGACTGTGTGGTGGCCAGTTAACATTATCTCTTTGTAAAATCAGCTTTTTGGGGAATAATTCCTTTATGACTTCAATTGATTCATGGTTTCAACATGATGGTGCCACTTGACACACATCAAATGAATCAATTGAAGCTGTAAAGGAGTTATTTCCCAATAAGCTGATTTCACGAAGAGGTGATGTTAACTGGCCACTACGCAGTTCAGACCTGAGTCCTCTGGGCTATTTCTTACAGGGACTTCTTAAAGAGAGGGTGTACAAAAATAAGTCAAAGACATTAACTCAGTTAAAGCAGAATATCACAGCAGAAATAGTATCGGTATCTCAGGCTTTGTGTCAACATGTACTGAGAAATCTTCGTTCAAGATTAGAAGAGTGTCAGGAGTGTAATGGATGCCATTTAGATAACATAATTGTTAGTAAATAATCTTCCAATAACCATAGATTGAAAATAAAAACAAAACTTTCTTTGAACATTTTTTATTTTTAATTTATTTTACTTTTAAACTGCACTCATCCTTTCTGGACATCCTGTAAATAAATAATATCCAGGACTATTTTTCTGCTGGAATGTGCTGGTATGGCATAGCAGCAGATAGCATAAAAGGTATTGATAAGTAGTATGTAGTACAGGTAACAAATTTTTAGAAAAAGAACACTAAATATATTTCATTAAATATTTTAATATTATCTTAAATATACAATTTTTTTATTTTTATTTTAGGAAATATTTAGAGAAGATTCTTCTAATCCTCTCCCAGCTGCTAGAATTTCTCCATCTCATGGCCAGTTGTATTGGTTGATGGACAATGCAGCTGCCAGTGAAATCAATAAGACAGAATAATAATTATTGGAAATACTTTAAAATCAAAGAAATAAGTCAGTATATAAAAAGATTCTATATCATTGTTTTTATTACTTGAAAAATGTTAAGTTACGATATGCAGAACTGGTTTTTATACAATAAATGAATATAAATTTATTTTTAAGAAGCTGTAAGTAAAAGTTTTGTATATTTGGATTTTGTTTTTTTAATAAAAATGCTTTATTAATTAATGATTTGATATTTATTAAATATTTTTGACAATTACACAATAGTTACATATATTATCAATAATTTTTAAAAAATTATCTTTACAGCAATTGTTAGCAATGTTGCTTTTTTGTATACTATTGGAAACAATTTAGACAGGTACAGCTTTGATTTTAACTCCATGCTTAGGATGAGATGTCACAAATGAATATGCTATTTTTAATTCCTGAAACAAAACATAAATTGTAAATTATCATTAGCCAGATATTTATTTAATAAAAATATTCATATTTTATACAATACCTTCTCTTCTGTAATTAATTTGTATGATTTTATGATTCTGGCAATTGCCATTTTTACTTCTAATTGTGCAAATCTCATTCCAATACAATTTCTTGGTCCAGAACCAAATGGTTGATATGACATTGGTTGAATTTTAGATTTGTTTTCTGAAGAAAATCTAATTTTTGCAGAAAATTCAAATGGAAAAATGTTATTACAACTGAAATTTTTTAATTAAAATAAATCATTGTTTTTATAGCTTATATATACAGAGTAAACAAAATAGTTTGTTCAAGAAGTAGACTGACAATACAAATGAGGGATAAGATTTGAAACTCCTCAAGTCTGTAGTAAGAATGTGTCAAGATTTAATCATGCAACACTAAATACATAAAATATATATCACAAGCATTAACACTTGGACTGTTAAAGCTTGCAATTTTGGTTTTTCAACATAATATTTTGTTCCTTTTTTTTGTCATCTCTTAATTCAAATCAGATAATTAAGGGTGTCTTTTTGCTCTACTTAATGATGGCACTTGCATATAGGGTTGCCATCTATCTGGGTTTGACCCGGAGACTCCAGGATTCAGTGAGTTATCTCTGGGCTCCAGGGTTAATTAATATTTCTCCGGGTTGTGCAAGTTGAAATGAATATGTACAAAATTATATGAAAACCGTCGTGTATATTTCTTTCCCCGTGTACCAAATTACTAGTGTGCTGGTTGTTGGCTTAAAGACATAACATCTATAACTGGCGCAGGCACAGTGCTGCTGCGTGTTATGTAGTTGTCACTCTCAATAGACAGCTCTTGACAAAACAGTCACAGGAAAGAGTACATGATATAGGCTACATAGGTGACAGTTTGATAAACAGTGTTCGTGTTGGTTGATGATTAATGGTAAGTTATAGTATATAGTTAGAGTCAGACTTGAGCAGGTTAAATAGCATTATATAACAAATGGTCTGTTGGACCATCAAAAATTAAAAGATTAATGGTAATCTGTATGAAACAATCTTAAAAGTTTAAATCTGATAAAATATAATGCTGTTATGTGGTAAAAAGAATACTTTTAATAGCTAAAATAAAAAATATAATAAACTATTATTATAACTACAGGGTGTCCAAAAAGGTTGAGTGCAATTTAAAAGTAAAATAAATTAAAAATAAAAATATGTTCAAAGAAAGTTTTGTTTTTATTTTCAATCTACGGTTATTGGAAAAGCATTTACTAAAAATTATGTTATCTAAATGGCGTCTGTTACACTCCTGGCACTCTTCTAATCTTGAGTGAAGATTTCTCAGTACACATTGACACAAAGCCCGAGATACCGATGACATTTCTGCTGTGATATTCTGCTTTAATTGAGTTAATGTCCTCAGCTTATTTTTGTACACTCTCTCTTTAAGAAGTCCCCATAAGAAATCAGAGGATTCAGGTCTGGACTGTGTGGTGGCCAGTTAACATTATCTCTTTGTAAAATCAGCTTTTTGGGGAATAATTCCTTTATGACTTCAATTGATTCATGGTTTCAACATGATGGTGCCACTTGACACACATCAAATGAATCAATTGAAGCTGTAAAGGAGTTATTTCCCAATAAGCTGATTTCACGAAGAGGTGATGTTAACTGGCCACCACGCAGTTCAGACCTGAGTCCTCTGGGCTATTTCTTACAGGGACTTCTTAAAGAGAGGGTGTACAAAAATAAGTCAAAGACATTAACTCAATTAAAGCAGAATATCACAGCAGAAATAGTATCGGTATCTCAGGCTTTGTGTCAACATGTACTGAGAAATCTTTGTTCAAGATTAGAAGAGTGTCAGGAGTGTAATGGATGCCATTTAGATAACATAATTGTTAGTAAATAATCTTCCAATAACCATAGATTGAAAATAAAAACAAAACTTTCTTTGAACATTTTTTATTTTTAATTTATTTTACTTTTAAACTGCACTCATCCTTTCTGGACATCCTGTAAATAAATAATATCCAGGACTATTTTTCTGCTGGAATGTGCTGGTATGGCATAGCAGCAGATAGCATAAAAGGTATTGATAAGTAGTATGTAGTACAGGTAACAAATTTTTAGAAAAAGAACACTAAATATATTTCATTAAATATTTTAATATTATCTTAAATATACAATTTTTTTATTTTTATTTTAGGAAATATTTAGAGAAGATTCTTCTAATCCTCTCCCAGCTGCTAGAATTTCTCCATCTCATGGCCAGTTGTATTGGTTGATGGACAATGCAGCTGCCAGTGAAATCAATAAGACAGAATAATAATTATTGGAAATACTTTAAAATCAAAGAAATAAGTCAGTATATAAAAAGATTCTATATCATTGTTTTTATTACTTGAAAAATGTTAAGTTACGATATGCAGAACTGGTTTTTATACAATAAATGAATATAAATTTATTTTTAAGAAGCTGTAAGTAAAAGTTTTGTATATTTGGATTTTGTTTTTTTAATAAAAATGCTTTATTAATTAATGATTTGATATTTATTAAATATTTTTGACAATTACACAATAGTTACATATATTATCAATAATTTTTAAAAAATTATCTTTACAGCAATTGTTAGCAATGTTGCTTTTTTGTATACTATTGGAAACAATTTAGACAGGTACAGCTTTGATTTTAACTCCATGCTTAGGATGAGATGTCACAAATGAATATGCTATTTTTAATTCCTGAAACAAAACATAAATTGTAAATTATCATTAGCCAGATATTTATTTAATAAAAATATTCATATTTTATACAATACCTTCTCTTCTGTAATTAATTTGTATGATTTTATGATTCTGGCAATTGCCATTTTTACTTCTAATTGTGCAAATCTCATTCCAATACAATTTCTTGGTCCAGAACCAAATGGTTGATATGACATTGGTTGAATTTTAGATTTGTTTTCTGAAGAAAATCTAATTTTTGCAGAAAATTCAAATGGAAAAATGTTATTACAACTGAAATTTTTTAATTAAAATAAATCATTGTTTTTATAGCTTATATATACAGAGTAAACAAAATAGTTTGTTCAAGAAGTAGACTGACAATACAAATGAGGGATAAGATTTGAAACTCCTCAAGTCTGTAGTAAGAATGTGTCAAGATTTAATCATGCAACACTAAATACATAAAATATATATCACAAGCATTAACACTTGGACTGTTAAAGCTTGCAATTTTGGTTTTTCAACATAATATTTTGTTCCTTTTTTTTGTCATCTCTTAATTCAAATTAGATAATTAAGGGTGTCTTTTTGCTCTACTTAATGATGGCACTTGCATATAGGGTTGCCATCTATCTGGGTTTGACCCGGAGACTCCAGGATTCAGTGAGTTATCTCTGGGCTCCAGGGTTAATTAATATTTCTCCGGGTTGTGCAAGTTGAAATGAATATGTACAAAATTATATGAAAACCGTCGTGTATATTTCTTTCCCCGTGTACCAAATTACTAGTGTGCTGGTTGTTGGCTTAAAGACATAACATCTATAACTGGCGCAGGCACAGTGCTGCTGCGTGTTATGTAGTTGTCACTCTCAATAGACAGCTCTTGACAAAACAGTCACAGGAAAGAGTACATGATATAGGCTACATAGGTGACAGTTTGATAAACAGTGTTCGTGTTGGTTGATGATTAATGGTAAGTTATAGTATATAGTTAGAGTCAGACTTGAGCAGGTTAAATAGCATTATATAACAAATGGTCTGTTGGACCATCAAAAAAAATTTTATTTTTTTATTTTTGGATGTTTTTTAATTCAAAAATTTTTACCCATGTGAAAAAATTTTATTGCGATTTTAATCAACCTTTAATGATGCATGATTAACGCTTAATTGTTTTTTATAGGATTTTTTAAAATCAAATTTCATTCATCGTTCTAAAGTTCTAGTGCATGGATTTTACTTCGGTAAAGTTATTTAAAGCTACTTTATGATGTCAAAAACAATATCCAATAGTTTTTTTAATTTTTTTAATTAATAGATTTTATTATATATATGTTTAATTGAGTCGAAGGGTCGGAAATCACAATAAAAAGTGTAATTTTTGAAAAATATTTAGAACATACAGCCAGCTAGTATTCACTCTACTTCAGACCCTTCACTTCCTGGAAACATCCCAGGAAAGATTATGTATGGATGTATGTATGTATGTATGTATGTATGTATGTATGCATATCGTTTTTTTGGTTTCTTAAATCATCGTCTCCAGGTGAGACTAAGTTTTGAGGTGGCAACCCTATTTGCATACAGCACATATCTTGCACACCCTACTTGTTGAGCCCTACTCACAGCATTTTCAAGTCTACTCCTTGCTAAAAAATTTGTGTTTAATCATTTGGTAGATATTTTTTAGATTCTTGATAAATAATAACAACCATCTTTTATCATTACCTCTCTGGCATGAACTTTTCTGGATCTGGCCAATATTCTGGATTATGATGCAAAGACCAAAGTGCTATTTGAATTCCTAAGCCTTTTGGAATTAAGTAATCTTTATATTTTATGTCTCTATTTGTTGTTCTTGTAACGAATCTAAATTTAAAAATTTAATAATAACATTTTTCATTTGATTATAATACAAACATATACATTATTATGCATAAATTAAAATTATTTTGAAATTTATTATTAAATGCAACAATAACTTACAAAAACTATTAGGCAGTTTTTTAAGTTTAAATTTTCATAAAATTTTATACAGTATAACTTCTTTAACTCAAAACTTCTAGATGCAGGAAAAAACTGAGTTACAGATGATTTGAGTTAGAATAAGCATTTTTTACTCTATTGTTCTCTGAATGGATTTGTATTTTTACCTCTCTTGCATTATACAAAGAATCTTTGATAGTTTTTTGTTTTAAACAGCCTGTGTAATCCTTTCCACTAAATGTTCAATGTAACAAATGGAATCAAACACTTTTGCAGATATATCTTATTGAGATAACGCGAGATGTCCTCTCACTTTGGACTGGAATGTTGTCTGTAAATGGGTGTTAGACAGTAAATACAACTGTTTGAAAATTTCATGGAGATCCAATAATTAGGATCAAGAAAAAATATTAAAATTTGAGTCAGGGAAGTTGAAAGTAATATAAATTAGTGTCAGGTGACCATGAAAACCGTTGACTTAGAGAAAATTCAAGTTAAAGATATTTATGTTGGTGATTTTAAATTCCTATACTATTCCATTGAGACCTACCATGTGCTTCACTTTCTTTGAGTTAAAGAAATATTACTGTATTTAGTATTTAATAAACAAATGATCTATCAAATATCACTTCTATTTGCATACAAGAATAAAGTGATAATTAGAAGTAAAACTAAAAATATTTTCAGTGAGAATGGAGTTCCTGTAAAATTTGTTACAGAATTGTTAGACTATGAAGTAAGTCTTTTAAATCTAGAAAGTTTGCTTGTTTTATATTACAAAAATTTTTTGAGTACAAACACTAAAAATTTCCATCTTTATTTAATTGATTAAATAAAGATGGAAAAGAGACCATGTGTTTGATTAATAACACGATCTTGCATTTAATACTCAACAAATAGTACAACATGGTTTCAAAAAACAAACAAAAAACAAAAATTTTTGTATTTGCAAATTGTCTTGACTTTTTTATTTTGAATAATTCAAACATAACCAGTAGACAATATTATGGTAAATAATAAAGATTAAATAAGTAAATTAAATCTCGCTATATGGAGTATTTATTTATTTAAAATATTTTAACTAAAATAACAAGAACTGCAGATTAATTATTATAATAAATCACTTAAATTCTTGCCTATTAATTACTTCCTGACTAATAGGATAAAAATTATAATAAATAATATGAATATAGTAGTAATAAATTAATAACTTGGTAATATAATAAAATGAAATTTGATATTTAAAAGCAGAAATATTTAAATTATTATATTTTTTCATTCGATTCTGTATTAAATTTATCAAACAATTTATTATTAATTGAAAAACCTTTATAATTATATGAAAATAACAAAATTACAGCATTATCAATGAATTCTATTATGTAAAGTATTTTAGAAATGTATATCATTTTATATTTGATTTTATAGTAAATTTAATTTGCTATATGTATCAAATTTAATTTGCATTTAAATTTATTATAGTAAATTTAAATACAAATTTTATAGTATATTTTATATTCAAACTATTTATCCTGCAGGTTAGTGGAATTGATGCTTACAATACTTACATAAAAAATGTCAGAATATTAAATTTTATGTAAGTTTTTTTTATAATGAACTATATAAGAATGTTGTTTGATTTGAACCTGGGGAATATATAAATCATTTTTGTTCAGTAGGATTATCAAATATCTAAAACTGAATTTAGTACTTTGCATAGATAAGATAAGTGTAGAATAAATTGAAAAAAATTGTTTTTTTTTTTATTTTGAATTTTTATTAGTTCAAATTGAGTTCAAATAGAATGACAATGACATCCATATAGAGATTCCTTTACTCACTGAAATTTTGGCAGTGAAAGTTACTACTATAAATTTAAAGTACCTTTCATAAATAACTGGAAAAATACTTGTTGAATAAAAATATTTGCCTTTTTATCCAAAAAATATGAATATATAATTATATAGTATATATACTATACATTATACTAGAGGTGCTCAAATTATGGCCTCCAGGCCAAATATGACTCATAGCACACATTAATCCAACTCACAAACATTTGATACATCACTTATAAATGATAGAAATAGGCACACTTTTTGTATAAAATGATAGAAATAGGCACACTTTTTGTATATATGGAAAATATATTTGTAGCTTGCCTATTTACAACTTATGCCAATTTGGGCATCACTGTATTATAGTATAATAATATAAGATCTGTAGCTAGGAGGCTGTGAGGTGACTAAGCTCCCTCAGCTTATTATATGATATATGCATTTGTTTCGTTATGTAAACTTAGGTTACTGTTATTTATTTTTACACAAACTGTAGCTAATAGTTCTAGTGCTGGCTAGGAGAAATACAAATCACAATTTTATAAGTTCATCCCTCTAGCTCCCCAATAATTATTTCTGGTTATGGGACTAGTATATATTCATATTATTCCTTGAAACTATTCAAGGAAAAAAAATAAACGTTTATTTTATTAACAAGTTCATATAATAAACTTACGTAAGTGAAGGACTGTATAGTCTAAGTGATTCTGAAATTACTTGATCTAAAAATTTCATCTTAGAAATAGCATTATAATCCAGTTTAGTCTGAAATTTATTAAAATTTTTAAAAATAAATAATATATTTACTTAAATTATATATTTATAGGCAATGTAAAACAGATGTATTAATACTTAACAGTTTATATATATTTCTTTATTACAACTAACCTCGTCTTCAACAACTTCATTTATTTCATTCCTTAATTTCTCTTGCACATCTTGATGAATAGCAAGAAGATAAGTGATAAAACTTAATGCTGTACTTGTTGTTTCATACCTGAAAGGCACTTCAATTTTTATTAAATATTAATATACAGGATGATCAGGATTGTTGAGAGGGGGAGCTGTGGATTTTTCCCTATGCCCAGAGCAAATATGCTCATAGTGGTCCCACCCACTACAAATTAATGCTATTTTTACTAACAAAAAAGTAAAATTTTTAAGACTGCATTTATTAATAAAAGAAATAAGTTATTCTGTGTATTTCATTTGTTCAAAACCAAAGTAACAAAAGGGGCCTGCTCTAGTCCAGTTCCCATACAAGCACTCAACAACCCTGAGGTTTATCAAACAAAAAGTTTACTTGCAAAGAGTAAACTTGGTGACACTGGAAAGGAGTTTCAAATGATATATCTTGAGAATTTATAGTACAGTCGACCCCCTATAATACTGTTGATAATTCCGTTTTATATGAATTCCATGTTGTATGAATCACTTAGATTTTACAAATACGTGTGCCGGACTGTGAACGGCTCACGTATTTTAAAATCTAAGTGACTCGTACAACATGGAATTCATATAAAACAGAATTATCAACAGTGTTATGGGGGGTCGACTGTAAATATAAGTCCAAGGTTTTTTTTTTTTTGTAATATATACAAGTATAATAGGGCAGTAACAATCTCAGACAATTTATTATATCACTAAGTCTACAAGTCAAATTTTATGTTTTGTTTTTATACTAGATAAAATATTTTAACTTTATCTTTACCCTGCTAAAAGGAATATTATTGCATTTGCTTTAATTTCTTCATCAGTCATATATCGTTTCAGTCCCTTGGATGTTGAACCTGAAAATTTTGAATAATTACTAACTTTTTTACTCTTATAGGGGATTTTTTTTCTTTTTTGACTCTTTCTACCCTGTGACACTGNATTTCCTTCTCTGGTTTCTCGATTGAGCATCCAACAGTAGTCAGATAACATATTGACATCCCATTTTCCTTGGTAATGGCTCTCGATATCATGGACATCCTGGTGAAATCTTTCACCCTGTTCACTGTAGGCTCTTAAGTTTTCGGGAAAATAGTCAATATGGGAGTGTAAGAAATGAACTTTTAAGCTCATCTTGCATCTTTGAGCTTCATACGCTGCCAGCATGTGTTGTACAATGGTTTTGTAGTCTTAGTATTTCCCAAAAACTAGAAGAAACCTTTCAAGAATGCATTACATTCTTGAAAGAGTTCCATGCTTCTTTTTCCTTTTCTCCCATTGTTTCCAAAAAGAGGGGATCAGATAAAGGGGATGTTGACTTATCTCTGTGTATTCACCACAAACGTAACAGAAGCTGTCTGGAGAAATTACACAATCTCTGCAAGCCACATTCCAGAAATAAAAGTACAAGCACAGTAACATTCAAATGCTGGATATAAACTGAGTGTGGCATTAGATGGCCAGCGCAATACTGAACTTATTTAGCTTGTTGAAACATAATCTAATCCAACAGCAGGTTGTTTATATTTATTCCTAGTATCCCAGATAACATGTTGAAAGATGCTCAACATCACCAGTAATATTACTCACTATCAACTTTTAACCTGCTTCTACATGAGCATGCGACCTTCCTCCTAACACTAAAACTACTTAACCCATCTCTCCCTACCACTACTCTCTTCAACCATTAACATTTATTTATTTATTTATTGGCAAGTCCAGCTATAATTGATAGAATTAATGTGAGAAGTCTTCGTTTTAAATATTTCTTTTATCTTTTTCTTGTTATACTAATTGCATAGAAAGATTCTCAAGAAATTTATGTTAAAAGTAAATGAACATTATACCATATTTTCATGTATTTAATCCATAATGGTATTTACCCTGATGAAAATTGCAACAACAAGAATAAAACATTTGTATAACACCTTGTGCCTAAGGAAGAAGTCATTGCTCAATGAGCATGAGTTTGTAATTGCAATTTAAAATTTGCATATAACCTGCACTCTGTTTAAATGGTCTTTTAAACACAGATAACCTGCAGGTAATCCTCATGAAAATGTAGAATTGAATTCATTTATATTTTATAAATCAATCCACTAATGTAATAATCTATTTAAGCAAATATTTATTACAATCACTGCTGGGTCTGTATTTTGCAAGGCCAAATGCAAAATATTCATTTGAGGCATATTAAAGATACTAAGGACAGATTATTAACTAACAGGCCTCACACATGAATTCAATCATGAAACCAATTCTGATTATGAAATACGTAACTGAACAGTTGTAAAAAATAGTTATTTTTATATAATTTTTTAAATTGTTTTTACAGCAAGTATCCTGATGCAATGTTCTTTCAATGATTCTAATATACTACAGCTGAATTAATCAATGTACCTTTAACGGTGGATGAAGTTTAAACTATGCTAACATTTTAAAACCATTTCATTTAAAAAAATTTCTAGAACACTATGTAAAAATGGTAATCGTCTGAAATATATATTTTTAGAGCGACTTTGTCTTTAATTTGTGAAAAAATTTTAAAACCAGTTAAGGAGCCATCTTCAGGCATGGACAATTGAAAATGGATTTAAACTTCACCTGCTTAAAGGTGCATTAATTAATTCAGCTGAGTAACCACAGTGGCTAGTTCATCCTTATTTATAGGCTACATTTCAACTTAATAAAATGCCATCCATTGCAATATAATAGTCCAATATTCTTCTAGTTTATACTTTATCTAGTGAAACTACACTACTACATGATTTTTATTTAACCTAGAAAGTCAAAATGCAAAGTCACAACTCAATGACAATAGCAATAGTAGAATCATTGATAATTCTGGTCATGATGATAATATATACAGTGTGTACTAATATCACAGGTCTGCAAAAAAATATTTTCCAGTTGCATGGGATATTTTTGCTGAATTATATGTTTTAAAGATCGGAGATTCTAAAAATGACTTCCGTAACATCCCATCACGTATAGATTTTTTTTTTTGCAAAATAAAAACAAATATTTGATAAAAACTCTTATTTATTATGATGAACTAAATATAATATATTTTCTTACAACTAATCAAAAAATTGTTTTTGATATTTATACACAATTTTAGGTCTACTCTTTTTTCTTATGACACCTTTTCTTCTCTTTGATGCTTCTCCAAACTCGTTTCTGATTTCCTTCTCTGGTTTCTCGATTGAGTATCCAACAGTAGTCAGATAACATATTGACATCCCATTTTCCTTGGTAATGGCTCTCGATATCATGGACATCCTGGTGAAATCTTTCACCCTGTTCACTGTAGGCTCTTAAGTTTTCGGGAAAATAGTCAATATGGGAGTGTAAGAAATGAACTTTTAAGCTCATCTTGCATCTTTGAGCTTCATACGCTGCCAGCATGTGTTGTACAATGGTTTTGTAGTCTTAGTATTTCCCAAAAACTAGAAGAAACCTTTCAAGAATGCACTACATTCTTGAAAGAGTTCCATGCTTCTTTTTCCTTTTCTCCCATTGTTTCCAAAAAGAGGGGATCAGATAAAGGGGATGTTGACTTATCTCTGTGTATTCACCACAAACGTAACAGAAGCTGTCTGGAGAAATTACACAATCTCTGCAAGCCACATTCCAGAAATAAAAGTACAAGCACAGTAACATTCAAATGCTGGATATAAACTGAGTGTGGCATTAGATGGCCAGCGCAATACTGAACTTATTTAGCTTGTTGAAACATAATCTAATCCAACAGCAGGTTGTTTATATTTATTCCTAGTATCCCAGACAACATGTTGAAAGATGCTCAACATCACCAGTAATATTACTCACTATCAACTTTTAACCTGCTTCTACATGAGCATGCGACCTTCCTCCTAACACTAAAACTACTTAACCCATCTCTCCCTACCACTACTCNCCCCCCCGCGTTGGAATTTCGAAAAATCCTTTCTTAGTGTGCGTTTCCATGACGTACCCTAACTGTGTACCAAATTTCACCTCTTTAGGTTAAGCGGTTTGCTCTGGGCGATGATGAATCAGTGAATGAATGAATGAGTCAGTCAGGACAAGCAATTTTATATATTTAGATATAAACAAAAACTTGAGTGTAATAAAAAAAATGACGTGATGGAATTTTTTTGGTATTTTTTCTTTTTTACCAAGTTGAAATCTATAAGAAAATGTATAAAAATCCTATGCAGTTTTTTGCTTGCAGACCTGTGTATTTATTTACATATACTGTTAAAAAATTTATGTTTCTAGTTTTAAAACTGATTTATTTAACTTACATCTCTGTCTGCAAAATCTGCAAAATTTTTTATTTCAATCAATTTAATAAGTTCAAGATCAGAAATTAATAGAATGGGTTTTAATCCAATATAATATCTAAAAATAAAATTTAAAAAGTTTTTTAGTTTGTTATTTTATAAACAAATAGATATTTTTTATTTATTTATTTTTTAATAGAATATCTATACTCACCCAATCAATTTTCCATATTTTTTAGTCCATTCTTTCTGGCAAACTGCAGGACCCTACAAATTGTGAAAAACTAAAAGAATTATACAGAACAGAGGTGAGGAACCTGCCTTTTAAGGCTTCAAGTACTGCCTGGTGATAATTAAAATCATGTAAGTTTAATTATCCTATAATGAATTTGGAGTTAAATATGTTTATTCTTCAATCAGCATACTTATGGTGCATATCTAAATATAATACATACACCAAAAAAAGGTATAGGTTTGTATATTTTAAATATACAAACCTATACCTTTTTTTGGTGTATGTATTATATTTAGATATGTACCATATGTATATTTAAAATATATATATTGTATATTTGTATGATATGTATATTTAAAATACACAAACCTATACCTTTCAACATACAGCATTATTAGATCCTCTGAAATACTTTGCTTTCCCATTAGTAAAGGTTCTTTACCTCTAGACCAGTTTTTTCAAACCTTTTCCTAATAGTGGCATTTCAACTTGTGACATCCCTAATTTTTTATCAATCTAGAGTTACTGCACTTTGCATGCTTTCGGTAATACACATAGGGAGTGTTATGGTGCTGAGCCGTATCATATTTTGCTGAAACCCTAAAGTGTCTTTGTGGCACACTGGTTGAAAACCACTATTCTAGACTATAAGGCTCAGTTAAACCTCGATATAGCGCCAGTATTTGCTCCACTCTGAAATGGCACTAAAACAAAAAATCTCAAACAATCGTTTAGCTTAAGTAATAAAATGCATGTACAAGTTACAATTTTGTGTTTGAATGCTGCATGATTTGGTGATAACGTCATTTTGCAATGCAAAATCCCACGTTTAGTAAATTAGTTACTGAATCTAATATAACAGAGGTAATTATATTGAACTTGCTTATTTATTAAGTGCGTTAGATAATCTATTAATTAAAAATACATTTAAAGAAGTCTACGGTTTTTACTGGCTTATCGAACAAACGAATACGAATGGACCCTAGACCATCACTGATTGATGGCCCCTGGAAGTCGGCTTCTTACAGAAACACAGCTTCCCTATCATCAAATGTCACCGCACGCCACTGTAAGTTGCATCTTTTTCTTTAACAGTAAAATAAATATGAATTATATATTACTCTTTGCTTCTAATTACTATTAGTCTATATTTACATTTACTATGATTCATTTTTGTTTTCCTTACAATTAATTACAAATTTAATAGCGTGTTTATGTAGCATAAAGTTATGTTGCTGTAAACGGAAGTTTCTTTTAATGACGTCAAATGTAATTTGAAATTGAAATAAATTTCATAATCTTCGAAAAACAAGTTATTTATGGAAGCTTTAATATTAACTAACCTTCTCATATAGCTCTTGAACATTTCCATTGAAAAAATTCGGTGGAGGGCCAGGAATTTTTAATCTTGCAAAATAAGAAAGTTTTCTCTTTCTCCATCTGTTTTTGAAAGGAAAAAAAAGTTAGTTTCTAGCAAAAAGTCCTTCTAAGAAATAAAAAGAAGTGGAAAAATTTTATTTTTTGCACATCCCTTTCAAAGTGCATTCAGAATTGTTACTTAAAAATTTATTAGGAATTATTATTTATAAATTAAAATTTTATCCACCAGTCTTTAAGTCAGCCACTGAACTCTGTTCCATTGGTAGAGGGTTCGCACCTGATCACGTCAGTGGCGTACCGTGGATGTCAGCCGCCCGGGGCGGAGGAAAATTTAGCCCCCTTATTTAGGTATCTCAATTTAAAAGAGTAAATTTCAGTTTCGTCACAGAATAAGTAATGAAAAATTCCGTGCTCATGTCAATCGATCCGAATCGTAGGCGCGACAAAAATATGAAATGAAATGGTTCAAATTTTTACAAGATGATGATATTTATTGTGAAATTTTGTCGCCCCCTAAAAGTGCCGCCCCTGCCGCCCTCACTACGCTACGCCACTGGATCACATGCAGCTTTCCGGGATTTATTCACGTACCAAACAGCTAATAGAGACTATTTTGCCATAGAAAATCCTTCCGGGAGATGGCCAAAATCCTTCCGGGAAATGGGAAGTTGTGTTGCATTGTATTAATTATTCCATTAATTAATCCAATTCAATCTAAAGGTTCAATGTCTGGATTTTTATATTTACTTTTTAAGTACGATAAGATTTAATAACTTGAAATAAAAATATGATAAGCTTAGGCTTTCTAACAACATAAGTCTTCACTAATTTATTGTAAATTTTATGAATTTGCTCACTTTTTTTAAAGTTTTAAATTGATTAAATTTAAAAGCGAAAAAAAAATTCCAGCATCGTGTTGCGTAACTTTCCCCGCAAAAAACAACTTTAAAATTTAGTATCGCCATCTGTTACGATATTTAATTTTAAAAACTGTTTATATTATTAATTATTACAAAACGGCAGAAAAAGCTTAATTTTGAAACTAGAGATAAATTTTATTAAAAAAAATTGTAAATGCTAATAACGAGTAAAATATTTTTTAAGTCTGGCCCTACTCGAGATATGAGGCATGATCCCTCTCTGTCTCCCTACCTTCTCGACCTTTAATAACCAAAATTTAATAGCATCGATCCCCCTAATACCAAACCACCCTGCAAAATTTCAGAAAATTTCGACAAAAAATACAGGAATTATTAAGCATAAAAGCGGGTGAACAAAATCGTGCCCCCATACACATACACACTGACATCCATTCTTATAGAAACGCCCAAATTTCTTTTGCATTTCTCAACATTATAAGGTCCTCTGAGTCCACGAATGTTAAATTTTGGGGGTTATCAGTTCATCTTTTCGTTATGCTTACTATACTTCCCTTCTGTTATATATAGCCGAACAGACGGGAAAGTAAAAAATTAATTAATTAATGAAATTAATAAAATTTATTTCTCTCTCTTTCTGCACTGTGGGCACGCCCATCGAAAGCTTAAGGCAGATAAAAGAGCCTGCTTTACTTCGGGCCCCTTTATCTGCCTTTACCTTGAGCAAATGCAATACATAGAATGTTTCTTTAGTAATAAAAATTAGTCTTAAAGATTTTATTTTACGTTATTAAGGATTTTATAAGAATAATTTTATAAGAACAGGAATCACTACGGGCCCGGGAAAAATTAAAACGTTATTAAGGTCCCATAACAATTTATGTAGAGGCATCATATAGAACAAAAATAGCAATGATCATTAAGATGAAGACCTGGCCTTGCCTTCTAAGGGACCTTTTCCCATACCTTCCTATACGTTAATGCAGCCTGGGTGCATACAGTAGCGTGTATACCCAGGGCGCATTAATGCGTGGAAAGTTGTACAACTTACATATATAGCTGTTAAGTTAATTATCATATACATTTATTCAGCCCTAATGAGAAGGGAAAGACGTTGCTGTAGAAACGGTGCCCGGCCCTTATAGAGGGCCCGAGAGGCCATGTTTCTTCGGTTTCATCTATTTATCTGAATAAACTATCAGAAAATATTTGCAGAACCTTTTTAAACACGTTTCTTCATCGTCGGAGAGGGTTCATAAATTATTGTACACGTAATTAAAGGGGAGGAGTTTGTCAAAAAGTAAAACGTTCTATACAACGGAGAAAGAGCTTCCGATTAAATATAGTTAATTTGTTAATTTTTAAATATAGAACAAAAGACGAACTAATATTTAAAACAAATCTTAAATTTACACTCTTACTTACACAATCCACAGAACGATTAATATCGAAATAATAGCTATAGTAACCTCCATGTTAACAACAACTTGCGATTACTGAAAATAGTTTTGCTGTATCTGTGATAGTTTATTTTATATATCTCCCCCTCTTTTAATCTCACTGATAATTACAAGGACAAAAAGTAGATTTTATGATACTTTTTAAAAGTTTAAATATAAAATATAATATATTTTAATTAAGAATATAAAACTTTAAATAGTTGTCCTTCAAATTATAATTTTAGGACAATTCTTAGAAGGTACAAAAAAAGACCTTTATGAATGAAAAAAAATCATCTCAAAGATTACGAGGTCAAGAGCATCCCTGTTCAACTTTAATTTTATAATTTGAATTATAATAATTTAAACGAATAAAGATTAAAATAAACAGATAAAATATATTTAAAAAAATACAATTCTGAATCCATAAAATGTCATTAAAATTGGATTAATGATGATGATAATGATAAGTGAATCTGACCTAAACTTGACACTAAGTATCGAATTACTTGTGTTGACGTACAGAATACAGTAGTATGGTCTGGGAAGGGAGCAAACCGTTGAAGATAAGTCGAACAGATTCACACGGAGATGAGATGATCCACTAGAAAAATCATGCACGCTTTCAATATAATTATCTTAATTTTAATTGCAACGTTTTCTACAGGATACTGTGCCATTAAGAAAGGTTATTATGGCCTGTATGATGATGAACTCGATGAAATACCAGAAGGAGCATCTACGTTAGCATTTGTCTTCGATATAACTGGTTCTATGTATGATGATTTGGTTCAAGTCATCAGGGGTGCTGCTAGAATTTTGAATACCTTACTGGAAAGAAGAGAGAAACCTATTTATAATTATGTTCTGGTGCCTTTTCACGATCCAGGTGAGTGATTTATCAACTGTTATTTTAAATTTTCAAACAGCTATAGGCCCTACGAACGTTTCTTTGTCTCATTATAATAGCCGTGTAATCGAATTAAATATCTTCATTTTAAATAATTTTTATATAAATTCCTGTACTTTGTGATTTGAATTTGCTATCGGTGTACAACAGCAAAACCTGTCAAAACGGAACCTGCCTGAACGGAGAAAATTCTTCGGAACGGAGCGATTTTCTATGTTAAAAAAATAGAACCTGTTCAAAGCGGAAACCTGCCAAACCGGAAAAATATTCGCTACCGTGCTATTCCGGTTTATGCAGGTTTTATTGTACTACCATTATTCAATTTGTATGCTTATTTTGCGAGAAGTCGTATGAATTTGTCTATTAATGCAGCATTGTATAGGATAATAGTTATATGTCCTCTTTTTTCCGGACTTGTCCTCCTTTTTAAACGTAAACATTTGGTCCGGACGAATTTTTATAAATTTATATATGAAAAAGCCCGATATTTTGATATTTCAAATTTGTTTTTAGAACTTCTATCATTTCGATTGACGTAAAATGGCACAAATGAATGAATTCCCTGTCTAGTCTGTTGGAAGAACTTCATTTGTGCAATGAGTACCAGGCAATAAAGAGAGAAAGCAATATTAAAATTTGTATTATTCTATTTTCTTTTCATCATTATAAAATAAAAGTTGAATATTTATGTTACTTTTTTAAATCAAAACTTTTCTAAGATACCACAACTACTACTACTTATTATTCCCAACTCTTCGCATACTTAAGTATTAAGTATTCACGGAGTCTCTAGACAACAGAATTCGTATTGCAATTGTTTATACATGTTTTCAAGCAAATTTTTGTATTTTTGATTGTTTTTATACTTTCGTTTGCTATAAAATTGGGCCTTTGTTTTTTGGTATACGGCAACGAGACACACAGGCGGTGTTGCCAAGGGAGATGCCTCCCGGGAGGTCTTTTATTGGAAACTGGCCCCTATTTAAGTGTTACTAACGCGAAGAAAACCCGGAAAATTCTACGTGGCCAGCCTGTTGGCGAGGGGAGAACCCACGACCAGTTTAAGGGGTTTTATCCACTCTGCCACTGGAAGGCACATTGATGCTTTATGTAATGATGGATTTACGGGTCCATAAGCCTTAAGAGACAATGAAATGACCTTTATAATTTATGCTGTTCCTCTTAAGGCCTCTGGACCTATATATATATATATATATATATATACAATAGTGTTTTACAAGTCTGGATTGTTCAAAATAAACAAAAATTTTACCAATTTGCTGATTTGCACTCGGCGTATTACGATACTGTTTATGTACGTGATGGAATCAACTTTTTTCTTTCAACAACGCCTCACCCGGCACAGTGGTCGTAAATTCTTAAATATATTTTGCGCCGTAATAAANCCTTTAGTTATGAAATTATTGGTGAAAAATGAGTACAGTATTTTTATTTAATAGTAGTAATAATAATAATAAACCGAGTATCACATTTTGACATACCACCATAATCATAACACGATAACGTATTCAAAACATTTCGTGAAATAATCAAGGTTATTGAAACTTAATACGTAGCTACACCAAATGTTTCAGATTATAAAACTACTTAAAGGTACATTATCTACTAGTTTAAGTATTGCTGTTGATTTTTGTCAGTATTTTTTATATATTTTATTATTTTTTTAAACGTTATTTTATTAATAATAACGATTATTTAGGAAACAGTTATAGATTTAGGTTTGATGGGATATGTCAAAACACTTGGATGATTTGTCAAGATCCTCCTGGGAGGACTTTCTATTGGAAACTGTAGCCTATTTGGGTTTCTTTTTTTTTAATTCTCGCCTCCTTAATGGCAATAAGAGGGCCATTTTTAGTAAGCCCATTAAGAGTTTGGGCAAGCCCATAATCATCGGGCGGCCGGGTGTTAGAGGTCGGGCCCGACATATTCTGAAAAATTCTTGGGTTTTTCGACCCGTCCGGATTCGATCCCGGATCTTCCAGAGCGGTGGATTTCACCTTAATCGCTCAACTATGGGACTGTCCATCTTTAGGTGTTAGACATGTGAAGAAAATCCGGTGAACTCCACGTGGCCAGCCCATTGGTCGGGCGAAACCACTATCAATTACGAGCGTTCAATGGTTTTATCCAGAAACAATTATAGATTAAGAGGGCGTTCAGTAATCGATGGCCTTAGAGCTACTAATGCAAATAGTGTTTTAGATCGCTACTTAGTTCGCGTATAAGTAAATATGTTTCTACATACATTATTTTTGTTTGTTTTAACTCTTTCCATCTTGTGTGCATATTATAATAGGATCGTTTGTTCTAATAATGCTCATCATGGGTTTAGCAAGGCTCATGGTAGGAAAGCAGTATGCTGAAAAAGGAGGCCTGATGCATCTGAGACGGTTAATATATTTTAAAATTACAAATGAAATTTCGTAACGGAGTACTTGTGTAAATATTTTAAAACCAACTTCTATGATTAATTCGTTCTCTTTCTTGAAAGTAAATAATAAAACTCAACTCTGCAGCCCTGAATAAATATTTGTGACCTTAAATTTATTATTGATATTTGAGTTTGTGTCATGCATAAGCTTTAGTTTGACGTTCAATACAATTTATCGGATTATGTAGTAAATAAACAAATAATGCAGAAAATATAAATAACCTAGTATATAGGCCAAAACAACGAGTCCTATTCATTAGCCTATAATTACATAATAATTATTTTTTATTTGATTTTAATTCCTCCGCTCTGCGTGCGCAAGATCTCTTCCATGTCTATCATGGGCTCGGCCATGCCCATAATAAAGGAGGACAGTCGGTGAGGAACCCGACGTGTTCAGGTTAACTCCTCATAAAAATTTCGACTCGGTCTGGACTCGAACCCGTGTCACCTCGAGCGATTTCCTATCTTAAACATCCTACTCATGACAAATATTTTTTGTTTTGCCTTGGTTATTTCTTATGGGTCCGCCAGTAGTCGAATGGAGAAAACCACTGAACACTGATAGCTTGTCTTGGTTTGCATCAGACCAACGAGTTGGCCACGTGTTTTTCTGGTTTTTTCACCTGTAATGCCCGAGCATCAGTAGGGCTATTTAGCCTAGCCTTACATATAAAGCATTAATTTTATTATATTTCTTGTATATCAAGAAGATTTTAATATATTTCTTGTATTTTTGTCAAATTTTATTCTCTAATTTAGGTTCATCAGAACGTTAACCACTGAACGCTAGCAGTTGGTCGCGGGTTCATAAACGGGCTGGCCACGTGAAGTTTTCCAGATTTTCCTCACGTGTGTAATATCTAAAATCAATTGAAAACTAGCTCCTAAATAGGGGCCAGTTTTCCATTGAAAGTTCTCTTGGGAGGAACCCAATGGTCGAGTGGATAAAACCATTGAACACTGGTAGTTGCTCGTGGGATTGCGGGCTGGACAACTGAAGTTTTCCGTTTTTCTCCACGTTTGTAGCACCTAAGTAGGAGCCAGTTTTCCATAAAAGATCTCCCAGGAGTCATTCCCCTCGGAAGATTGCCCATGTGCCGCATTGCTGTAACGTAATAAACCAAACCTCCTGGGATATTCTCGTTGTTTGGTATCCAGTGACAGTAGCTAAGTAACATGGCCGGATGGCCGAGAGGTCAAGATGGCAACCTACAACTCTGGACCTGGGTTCGAATCCGAACGGGTCGAAATATCCCCAGGAATTTTTCGGGGGGTGGTCCGTCCGGATATATCGGGCCCCATCCCTCACCACCCGGCCGCCCCATTGTGGGCCTGGCCGAACCCATAATAGGGTTGCTAAAAAAGGCCCTCTTAGTGCCCACAGGGCGGAGAGTTAAAAAAAGTAGCTAAGTAACAAATAATTTTGTACCTTTTATTTTTCAACCGTCCAGTATTACCTTAAAAGCAGCTGTGATATGGCGGCGCAGTAGTCTTCATTTTCTTAAATCAAATGGGCTGAGCATACACTCCAAACTCCCAAACTAGTGAAGAAATCTGGACTAACTGTGTCAGTGCCTGAAGTTATACTGTCTTACAATAGGTACTAACGTCGCATGGAATGATATCTTCTAAGAAATTCTCTGGACGAAGTATATCTGCCATCATTACTTCCCGGATCATTCAAATTTTTATTGTTCTGGTTAGCAAGTATGGGCATTTTTTAGTCTAAATCTCAGCTAAATGGGTAAAGGAGAAAGTGAGAACTCAGAATTCCAAATGGTGTATAATAGATACAGAAAATAGGAAGTTTTATACAGGGAAATAAACAACAGCTAAAGAATAGAATATTAAAAAACTTCTACTCACGAGTCAGATTCAAGAGCAGACTACTTGTTTAATAGTTAAAGGAAGAAGCTATTATAGAAACAGAACTCTTAAGGACAGCCTATCAACTAGAGAAAGAAAAATCTAGCAACGAGAGTTGCGTAACTTTCCGACTGTTATGAGTTTTTATTTAAAAAAACGTTTATATTATTACTAGCAGGTAGGCCCGGCGTTGCTCGGGCAAAAGTAACGATAGTGAAGATTAAGATTATTACGTTATAGTCAACCTTACCCGTTTTCACAAAATGCAAGAATTGGGTCCTCCTGTTTCCGGACTAATTAGAGAATTTTTAAATGTGTCTAAAAATATGTTCGACTTCCCGCAAAAACGAAAAAAAACTGCATCTGCGTCTTGCACGTCGCTTTCTCTTAACAATTCCATTGTTACTTAAAACTTCCATTGTTATTTAACACTTCCATTGTTGATGGAAGTATTAAGCCTTAATCCTGCCCCTCTCCCCCGTGGGGAGGAATTTCGAAAAATCCCTTCTTAGTGTGCGTTTTCGTGATGTACCCTAACTGTGTACCAAATTTCAACTTTTAACTCCTAACCGTTTGGGCTCTGCGCTGATTATTATTATTATTATTATTATCAACCCGTCTCGATTATATATTAGAAGCAAAAATAAAATTGTGTGTGGCGCCATTTGTATCATATTTTGTTATAAACATTTTCAGATTATTTTTAATTACTATAAATTGGAAAAGGCTTAATTTTGAGGGTAGGGGTGAATTTTATAAAAGAGTGTAAATATTAATAACAAAATCTTCATTACGTCCTACCCCTCTCGAGGTATATGACTCCCTATCTATCTCCCCAACCTCTTTCCTACCAAAATTTAATAGCATCAATGCCCCTAACATACAAGCCACCATGCCAAATTTCGTTCCATAATATTTACCCCATCCTGAGATATTAAGCAAAATAGACGCCAACACCCACACACACACGCACACACGCACACCTACACATACATTGATTATCTTATATTTTTTTAAACCCAAAACAATTAATTTCAAATTTAACCCAATAATCTAAACCTTTTTTTTTCGTTAATAGATATTGGTCCTGTTACAGTAACAACAGATCCTGATATATTTCATCAACAATTGAAAGATCTTTATGTTCAGGGAGGTGGAGACTGTCCAGAAATGAGTGTTGGTGCCGTCAAGTTAGCTTTAGAAGTGTCTCTTCCAAATTCCTACATCTACGTGTTTACTGATGCAAGATCTAAAGATTACAACCTGTTAGAAGATGTTTTGAAATTAATGCAAAAGAAAGAAAGCCAGGCAAGTCTGTTTATCTTTAAATTTTATTTGAATATTTGCTGTGTCTGGGGCGATATGTTTATATATACTGTCAAATCTTGTAAACAATGGCGACAGACGAGAATATAACCTCCAAACAAAGGCCTTTTTTTTATTTTGTAAAGCATTTTTGTTTTAAAAAATTCCTGAAAGAACAGTCGCTGTTGGGAGGTGGCCGTTATTGGAGGTTCAACTATATTATATTATCCTAGGAAGTCTCCTGCATATACATATTTAGGCCCTCTTAGTGTCTACAGGGTGGAAGGATCAATAGAAAACACATATATGGACCTTTTATCAATGTTCATCGTGGCTTCAAGCAGGCCCACAGTTGGGCCCGACGTATTTGGGATCAGAACGCTCATAAAAGAATCCTGGGGTTCAGTGGCGTGTTATCTTATGGGCAAAAAGGCAATTACCTGGGGTTCAGTGGCGTGTTATCTTATGGGCAAAAAGGCAATTACCTGGGGCCCAAACTAATTTTTCATAAGCTCATTATTTTAGTAAAAATTTAAATTTTATGCCATGTCGGGGACCCTAGATTGCTGGTGCGCCACACCAGCAATCAACAGCACAGAACTTAACTTGACCATCCGCCCATTGAGCCCTATACAGTATGAAAGTAGTTAGGTACTGTATATACTTATATATACATCTATATATAGGAGTAAGTATTGATACTTTATAATATGAAGGTTATAATTAAGCAGATGATGTGTAGAGCTCTGTGTAGAAAGAACTATTGGATTAATTGCAACCAAATTTGGTTTGCACCCTTTCCTCACCATGGGATTTTGATTTCGCAAATATAAAGTTTAGTTCCAAAATTTCGCTATACAGGAGAATTTGGCGCTGATGTCGCTGCAATTTGGAGAAAGTTGAAGCCATTTTAGTGGAATAGTAAATGATGAATTTGCAAGGTAACTGTAGTACGCGTGCCGTACAGTGCGTAAAATTTTGTGGCAAATATTGCAAGGTATCTTAATCACGATTTGCTTCCTGGTGATTATGCTCAGCAGAAGTCATTTGCCATGTAATTCATAACTCGGATAGTAATCGCCATGGAAAATTGTATGGACCGATAAAGTCCTTTTTATTTGAATGGTGTGTTGTGGCATCCTTTATTATCGGACTACAGCTTTTAGAAGAAAACACTACATCTGAACCCGTGATGTGTTTTGTCAATGCCATTAGGATTGGAGACGTTCTTCTAAACTTTCTCATCCCCACGCTTCAGCAACGAAATTTATTTGGATATCACAATCTTTAAGCAAGATAGAGCACCTCTTCATATCGGCATCAACGTGCAAAGTCAACCCTTCGCGAATGAAAGAGTGATTAGTCGATCACTTCCAATAGCGTAACCCCCACGATTATTAGACTTGACCTCTTGTGACTTTTAGTTACGGGGATACTTGAAGAGCCTTGTTGATAAGGGCAATGTACATAATTTAGCTGTTTTAAATTTTGTTATATGTGAGACAGTTACGTTCCTCTGTCGAGAGCGTTGTTCATCGAAATGCATGCTTAAGAATAGGAAGACGCGGTACAGTACAGTAGAACCTTTAGTCTGATTTATTGGTTACTCATTATACACTATAACGAAGTTTTATTTGCTCTAATAATTCCAAAAATAGTGTTATCGTGATGTCTCGTGCGTCGAGTTTGACACAAACTGTTGAATATATAAACAACAATGTTTCATCATAGATAACTTGATCGTGTTTAGAAAAAAGTGCGTATGACCCGATAATATAAGGTTCTATAAACTAGTCACATGGGATACGACTTTCTGTAGTTCGTTGAATGTTAATGAAAAAATGATTCCGTCACAAAACAAACTGTGTAACAAGTTAAAGCAACACAGATCTATCGAGAAGAATACCTCCAGAAGGAAATTTCTATGAGAAATTTAGGTGTTAGACACGTGAAGAAAACCTAGAAGACTTCATGTGGCAATCCGTTAGCGAGGTGCAAACCTCTCGCTAGGGGTCCTATAAAAAAACTCTTGATGAGAGCTTGTATAAAATTAATTTATTTTTATAGGGATAAAAACCACTACTCGCCCGTAAATTTCCTCTATTCCCGAGGAAAACATCTCTGGCTTTTCGACAGTCCTGGAGGTAAGTACCCGCGACCAACTGGCAGTTTAGTAGTTTAATTCTAAATTTTTTTTAGAATTATTTTCAGTAGAGTAACTAAAATTCAAAAATTTCTAACAGAAAAATGTCGTCTTAATAATAAAATAAACAATTGCTTTATTATTAATTAATTACAGTATATATATAAAACAACAATCAAAACTAACTTTTGGGTGGCCCAAAAGTCAGTTTATCAAGTTATATTCTTAAGCTCGTTTTAAAAACGGTTAAAAATTATTAAATTAAATTTTACTACTATTAAATTAATAATCAAGAATTTACAAATTTATTTGGTCGCGGGTTCGAGCCTTGTCAACAGATAGGCCGCGTGTTTTCCTTGTTTTCTCCACATGTATAACACCTAAATAGGTACCATTTACCTATAGAAAGTCCTCCTCGGAGGCAGATCCCCATGTATTGATACTACGTTACCTTATCCTATCAATCCGATCCCTACGTTAAAAGTCAACTTTTCTGCAGTATAAATATCCGTATAAGTGTAAAGTAGAAAGTATTCCACGCTTACGTAACAGGTAAACGAAGGGAAAATCACACAAAAAGTGACATTTGTATACAATAAATAACATAACTTTCGAATTAGCTCCGTATCGCAATTTAAAACTTTTATAAATTGTCTTTTTTCATCTCGAAAATAAGATCCAGGAGCGAGTCTTAGAGGAGGTGATGCCTGTAAAACCAGATTTCTTTTAGAAGCAACGTATTTAAATGGGGGACCCCAATTTAAATTTTGTCTAGGGCCTGCTAGAGGCTTAATCACTGTGTAAAACGATAAAAATATTAAGATATAAACATTATTTTAAATTAGAAGTTTCCATTATTATTATTATTATTAGAGTTTTCATCGTTAACATAAGGGAGATGGCTCCAAGATCTGTACTGTACAAACAACCATGTATTTAGTAACATATTACATATTTGATTTCGTTCTCGTTACAGTTCATTTCTTCTTACGATGATTGCATCCATCTTTTATTTTTTATTTTGATTTGAAATTCCAATCTTGATTGGGTAATCGAATATTTTATTTTTGACTTTCAAATATTTGTTATGACACGTTTCTTAAATTTCATCGTAACAAATAGTCGTTACGTCTTCTAAATTTTCATCAAAACTTTCGTTTTTTTTTTTTTTTTTTTTTTTTTTTAATATTCGAGAAGTCAAAGAATTCAATTCCATTTACAGAAATTTCAAAAGAACACTGTAACAATCAATAACTGTGTGACGCAATCAATACACATCTTTACTATTTTTTTGTTTTGCTTTTAATAAAGTTTTGTATAATAATTATTGATTTAAAAATATATATATTTAGGCATTTACCTAAAATAAAGAACTGATGATACGATAATTAATTATTATGGCTTATTTCTGTATATATATATTTTTTTACTTTGAAACACGAGCGACCCCCCTCCTGTGTTTTAAGCAATCTTATTATTTTATTTATTTATTTTTTAGGGTTATAAGGACAGTCTATAGACCTTTTCCCTGTCACGTGTCTTACTGCAAATCGATGGCTAAATTTTAAAAATTAGTTTATTTGTTTGATGATAAAATGTGCGGAGAACACTCTCCTCTCTAAAACAACGTTCACGTCTTGCTTTTATGATGCGTTTTACGTCACAAATAATGCCACGCCACGCCTTAAAAAAGAATAATTTTAATAATAAAATAAAATATTTTTACTGATTTTAAATTTTATATAATACTCGTACAAAGTTTTTGTTATTTTAAAACATACACAATCGTAGACACTATGAAAAGGGGGTCAACTAGAGGAGAATCACTGACTATCATGGGAAGTCTATCCCGGATATGTCGGACCCCATTGTGGATCTGGTGGATCCCATGAATGGATATAGAAAACCTTAGTGCCCACAGGATGGCCAGAGCCGAAAACTTAAAAAAAAAATGTAAAACGATAATATTTAAACTTAACGATGCAAATTTCAACTGAGGATAAGTACTGTACATCTTTATTTTAAATTGTTAGTTTTAATTATTATGTGTATAAACTACATATATTTAACTCCCCATTCCTGCTTTTTGTTTAATTTATAATATGATGTCAGGCCAACAAAAAAGCATCGAAATCCAGTATGGCGACGAAGGGTAGACCTAATGACGCTCAATGGATAGCATTGGAAATTAGTTAATAAAAGTTTTTAAAATAACTTTCATATAAAGTAAATAAAACCAAATTGTGAAAAACACTTCAAACTTATATTTTACTAACAAAATTTTGATGTTTGTGTAAATTTGAGTGTATTATTTTAGTTTTTTCTTAGGAGCACGCATTACCCTACTTTCTCCTAATTTTTCGAGAATAATAATAGAAAAGAGAAGAGAATGTCCCTCTGCTCTTTTTTATTATTCTCGTGAAGTATGAATGTTTACAGGAAAAGAACGAGAGAATGCGCTTTTGGTACTTGCAGTTTATAAAATTAAGTTTTGAAAGCATAGCGAAAGTGAAACCCGAGTCGTAAAATTCTTAGAAAATTAGAGTATGTGCGGTTAATTAATTCGAGAAGAGAGAACGAAAACTATTTTAACCTTACGAAAGAAATTAATAAAGATGATCCCGAATTTATAGCCTACTGTATATAAATATACGTACAATAAAATCTGTCCAAACCGGAACCTGAATAAAACGCGGAAATCTGCCTAAATGGGAAAAATTATTCAGAACGGTGCGATTTTCTGTTTAAAAGAAAAACCTGTTCAAAACGGAAAAAATATTCGCTACCATTTACGCAAGTTTTACTGTATATGCTGTATAGGCCTATACAGATAATATCTATTCGGATATGTTTAACTTAAAATGTACAAATTCATACAAAAATTTCATATTAAATTTTGATTCATACAAAATAATTTTGCTCTTGTATTGACTTTTCTCTCTAAAAGAGAATGGAAGTACTGTATGTCACTAGTAATGAGCAAGCATCGTTTTCTCTTTACCATTCTCACAAAGTGTGAAACGGCTTTTAGGGATTTGTTGAAAATCTGTTCTATTTAGGCCTAAATTGCGTTCGCATTTTAAAAGGCCCACCAGTGACCAGTGGCCAAAATGCATAAAACCGCCTAGCACTGACCGCATTTCTGTTTAACTGAATGAGGAAGAATATCCTTTTTCCAAAATACTTAATGTTTATATAATATAAAGACATGCCAGAAGTGTGGTCACCAAATAACTTTTTGCAGGACTTTTTCGTGGATCTGTCCCAGATATGTTGGTCCCCTGGTTCCCTTCGTCACCGCTTGGCTGACCGAAACTACGATTGGGTACCATAAAGAACCTCCTTATACCTATAGAGAGGAAAGAGTCAAAAATAGAAAAATACATATTATGTATTGACAGGTTTTAACACTATTTACAGATCTTAGGGATCAGAGTGGTGTCTGATCACCGGATTTTTGTTTACATTTTCGTAAATTTCGGCAAGGCATTAGACATTCTTCTTTAATATCTACCGAATGTAAGAAAAATTTACAGCAATGTTTTTAACAGTTAGATCTCGTATGATGTAAACATTGTAACATGTTCTACTATATTATATTTTGTATCAGTAAACGCTGTTGTATGCTTCGTACAATGATACAGTGCGTGACTATAATGTGTTAAGATCATTGGAAAACCTATAAAAACATTAATGAACACATTACATTGCATAAAGTCACGGAATTGTCACGTAGTGTGCCAAAAAGTCTGTAGCATACCAACCCACCAGGGCCAGTAGATAAAACCACTGAACACTGGTAGTTACGGGTTTGCAATCATCCAGTAGGCTGGCCACGTAGTTTTCTGGGATTTCTTCACATTTGTAAGATCTAAATAGAGGTCAGTTTTCCACAGAAAGTCCACCATACGATTTATTTGTTTACGGCAGATTGCCCACATGTCGCATTGCCGTAAATAAATAAACCAAACTTTAACATAGCCTACTACATGACAATTCCAGATAACAGACAAGATAACATAATTAACGAGCTTCTACTCTATATTAATTTTAAGTTTATAATACAAACTAATCAAATTAGTTGTATATTAGGTGGTGTTTGTAATGACAGGAGATTGTGGAGATCAAACTCATCCAGGATTTCAAGCTTACGAACGTATTGCATTATCCAGTTCGGGTCAAGTATTCCATCTGAAGAAATCTGATGTGGATGAGGCATGTTTCAAAAAGATGTTTATTCTAAAATAATAAATTTTACACGTCATAATGCTATTTTATATGTCGACAGGTTTTAAATTTTGTTCAAGTCTCTCTTCAGGCGCGCAAAGTAAATCTTTTAGCTGTGGATCAAGACGAAGGAAATGAGACAGAATTTAATTTGGATGTTGATTCAAATTTAAGAGAATTTACACTGTCCGTAGCTGGTGATAATCCAAGCGTGATACTTATTAATCCAAAAGGTTATATACTTATTGTAATTTCTAATGCATTTGTGTATAAATTTTCTATCATTGTTGTTATATAGTTCCATTCTTTCATTTGTCTAGTAAAAACAATGAAAAAAATGTATCAAATTTTTATATTTCAGGAGAAATTGTAGATGAATTTAACGGTTTAAATGATCTGTTAAATTTAAATAATGTTCTAATTGTGAATGTAAAAGATCCAATCCCTGGACAATGGCTGTTAAAATTAAAAAGTGATAGCCGTCATTCTATACGAGCAACGGGATTAAGTGGATTGGACTTTCAGCATGGTTATTCTAGAGAACCAACTACAAATTTAGAAGAAACATATCATAGACCTTTAAAAGGTTATTGACCATTTTTGAATTTTAATTAATAGTTTGGCTTGTAAGAAATTTGTAACATTTTTTTCTTTTTTTTTTTTGTAGGTGCTCCTACGTATCTACTCCTGAATGCAACAGATTTATTAGAACCGGGACGACTTACAAAAATTCAGCTGGTTGACTTGAAAGGAAATATTTTAAGAGAAGCATTATTAGAAAAATTACCTGGCACATCTACTTTATTTACTGCTACCTTTATTCCTCCAGATGAATACTTTTACTTAAAGGTAGGAAAGAGTAAAATTCCATAACAATTTTTGAATATAAGCATAATAATAATAATTTTTATACAGGTTTTAGGACATGATGAAAGAAATTATTCTTTTCAAAGAATGACAGCTGTTCCTATTAGCTCTCAGTTACCTGGTAATATTTTGAAATTAGTTTAAATTTACTGTTTTATGGAAATTCTCTTTACTGTTTTCTAATATTTTGAGCATTACTTTCTATTTTCAAAATTATTTAGTTAATGATATTAATTTATATTTTACAATGTTTAATACTAGCAGCTATGCTTGGCATTTCCTAGGCAAACATTAAAATCAAAAGGACATTAAAAGTTTGGTTATTTTATACCAACCCAAATCAACAGCATTATTTTGGCAAAGCTGCCAAATCCAGAAGACCCTATACTCTTTGAAATTGTCTCTAAGAATTTAATTTGTGGACTATGGGTGGGTTGTTATACTATATTTACTTAAATAATAATGCATTAAACTTAAATTATCACAAAGTGTTGAGGAAACGAAATCAGGGGTATCGGTATTTCATAGTAGCCTATATTTTTCACAAGACCCTAAAGAATAACTCTGAAAAATTAGGTCCAGATCAGTCAGAGGATTTAGAAGTGTATAAGGAATATACAGATCGACTAATTGATATTCTGTTTTATACATATTATTTTAAGGGTATAAATTGACCACGGCTTAAAAATATAACAATGAACACTTAAAATCTTCAGATTAACAGCAGTTTATATATGTTACAGTCAAAACCCGTTTTTAGTTAGAACGCGTTTTAACTAGTTGAAACTAGTTTCTACTGAATGTCTTTGTTAAAACCCGTTTTGTCTAGTTAAAACTAGTTCTAACTCAAATTCATTTTTGACTAGCAGTAAATTCTAGTTTTAACTAGACAAAATGGGTTTTAACAAAGATATCCAGTATAAACTAGTTTTAACTATTTAAAACGCATCCTAACTAAAAACAGGTTTTAACTGCAACGTATAGAGTGATTCGGGGTAAGATGGTAAGCGGGGGAAGATGCCTAATTTTTGATATTTTCAAACGGTGACGTCACATATGTCGTGTATTTGTATGATGAATCGTCGGGCCAATATTGAGTGCGGAAAGCTGTAGTTGGCTACCGTTACTTCATTTTCTTCATCCGAGAAAAATAAAAGCTAGATAAGAACGAAGCTTTTGTTGTGAAATGTTTCTAGAAGAATTTTAACCTAAAAGTTAAAATGGAATTTATTAAAAATTGCTAAAAACAATTAATGTGTGATGTAGTTAAGGTTCTAAAGTTTCCATTGTCAGCTACCACCGATCCCGATCGGACATGCTGGAGCATGTGACTCTACTAGGCATCTTACCCCAACAAATGGAAAATATGCCACATTTTTCTTGGGGTAACGTGCCTATTTTTTCTTAATTGATTTCCAATATGCCTATTTTTAATAAACTTTTGTTTTCTCGTTTTATTGCAGGATATGCATAGAAATTATATAAGGAATTCTCAAAAAAGTTTTTGGACTGAAAAAAGCTTTCAGCTAGCTATAGAACACGTTAGAACGGGCAGAAACTAAACAATACTTATACTGTGCTGTTATACTTTCTATGAAGTACTTTGTACTGCATATGCAATAAATAAAATTTGGTTAAGAAATTCAAAAATTAATTTTATGCAATTATATTTGTTATCTTACCCTAATAGCATTTGGCATCTCATCCGGATACTTGACGTAAGATGTTTGTAACGGACACTTTGTACTGTACATGTGATTGGTCAAGTGACCAGTGGCGCAAAGCTATTGTTCGTGGGATTATGACTAAACGCCCCTAAGGCAGAAGACCCCTAGCTGCGGTAAGTCGTTGCAAGAGTAATCCTGCGCGGTACGAGAAAAACCGCAGGGTCAGTCACTTTTTGGTTTGGTTACTGGTTGTGAGGAGGTCAAAGTGCGAAAAGCAAGAAGAACGAACGTATACCCCAGAATAGATTTGAACCTTGTACGGACTCACCACTTTGAACTTGTACCTGGCTAAAATTCCCGTTAGCCGTAACAATGCCTAAAATGCCAGACAGTGAAAAAGTCGTCATTGCAAACACAGTATACAATTTTTTAAAATAAACTCCAAACTTTTATTTAAAAAACATACTCCAGAATATGATATTTTCATTAGAGGGCTCCTAAACTTAAATTAGCGCTGTAATTTCCTTCATAAGCAAAATGTTAGGCATCTTCCGCCGAATCACTATACATAACTTTATTTATTTCCCCCAAACATATTTATGTAGCTAAAATTAGTTTTAAGTAATGTTAAAAGTTAAAATTAGTTTTATCTAAAATCAAAACCTGTACAGCAGTAAATTAACTAGACAAAACCAGTTTTGTCTAGTTAAAACTAGAATTTACTGTAGTCAAAAATGAATTTGAGTTAAAACTAGTTTTAACTAGACAAAACGGGTTTTAACAAAGACATTCAGTAGAAACTAGTTTCAACTAGTTAAAACGCGTTCTAACTAAAAACGGGTTTTGACTGTAACATATATATTAAATTTTATCTGATGTATAAAACTATTTTTTAGATATTCCAGAAGTAACTACAAGATCTCATCTTTATGGATATTATGGAAAAGAAAGTATTCTTAGATGTTATGTTGAATCATTAGTCCCCTTTAGTGCCACATGGCATAAAGATAATATTCAAATCAGTCAAGAACATCAATTTCCGTAAGTTCTATATAGTGAAAAATAAAAATAAATAAATAATACTAGTACTTATTTCTTTTAGAATGAAATATTTTTTCCTCTGTTAATAGCCAAACTACAGAACTGACATTGATTATTCCTGAAGTAACAAGTCTTTCTGAAGGTTATTATACATGTAATGCTACAAACATTGCTGGAAGTTCTTCAAGTTCTACATTTTTAGATGTGAAAGGTAATTATAAATTATAAAATATATACCGGTAATATATACTATAAAAACAAATTATGATTCATATTTTAAAATCTGATTTATCACTTAAATTTTATGAGGGCCACTCTGAAAGTTTCTGGATGTAGAAAATGTGTTGCATATACTGCAATACTTGTTGTCTATGCAATTCTTAGCAAGCATTTTCACTGAGAGATGACACTAGTCATTTGTTGCAAGCATGCAAAATGAATTTGGCACCATTTTGCCTTGGAGGAGACACATGAACATTTTTGGACAATGTGGTTTTACGATTTTTAAATCTGGTTTGTTCGAGTCAGAATGTCTTGTGCATTTGCAAATCTTTCCAGACATTTGTTTATTACAGACAAGACATTTTGGTGCTTGAAGTGACAGAACGAGCCAGACGGATGAAGCTAGAAGCAACCATCTCTCAACTGCTGTTATCCAGGAGACAGTGGCGTGCCATCCTTGGAAGCGGTGAAAGCACCACTTATTTACTAAAATATAAATACACATTGTGCGATTATTTTCATATTTGAACGTACTTTGAATTAATTAAAATTTATATTTTATTTAACCGCATTATGTATCTTATTACAAATTTCTATACTACATGTAAAAAAAATTGCTATTGTATATTCAAATATAAATTCGTATACGCGTATTCCCAATGGAAGCGCTGTATTGTCGAATACGGGACAGCTTCCACGGTGAAAATATTTGAACGGTGTAAAGCAGTCAGATTATAAGCATTTGCGCATGCGCTTTACAGAGCACTAACCTCACGCGGTTTAGACGGTGAAAGCTACAAACCAAAATATCGTATAACGCTTCCAATTACAGTAGAGCGTCGATTTTCCGAATCAATTGAGGATTGGGGTTGTTCGTATAACTGATATTTCGGATAACCGATTTATGTACGAAAAAATAGTTGAACGTATCCAATGTTAAAATTTTTCTGCGTTGCGTGTCGCTTCGCGTTGAATTTTCGTCGATGTTAAGCCTAACAAAGACTATTGTATCGTTAAAAATTATTTTTTTATTTTGTACAAACAAAATAAATATATTGAAAAATATAAAAACAATAAAAAATTATACTTCAGATGTTAATTTAGTATCAAAAACGTAAAATATTTGAGTAGCCCAAGACATAGCCAAAGATTGAAGC